CCAACAATATTGTTCCTCTATGCTGTTATTGTTATAGCTGTGGTGTAGACTTTGCTATTGTTATACTTTACTATTTTTAAAACTTAGTTATGGTTATCGTTATAGTTATCATCGGTGATTAAACGGAATAGTTCACCCAAAAATTAAAATTCGCTGGAAATTAACCTTCAGGCCATCCAAAATGTAGACGTGTTTATTTCTTTATCAGAACAGATTTAGAGAAATTTGGCATTACATCAATTGCTCACCAAAGGATGAATGGGTGCCGTCAGAATAACAGTTGATGAAAACACCCCGATAATCCACGACTCCAGTTCATCAATTAACACCTTGTGATGTGAAAAGCTGCGTGCTGAAAGACATTTCACCGCAGTGAGCAAGTGATGTAATAGGAAAAAACTCATCTACATCTTGGATGGCCTGAGGGTACAATTTCAGCAAATTTTTATTCTTGAGTGAACTATTCCTTTAACCCAGAGCTCCTCACTTTACCTGATAGGCTCTGATAAGAGTGTGGACTGCCAAATGATCCTCCACCACCTTCTCGGACATGGCAGGTGTCTGGGACATGGCTCGCCCCTGGAGCAGCGCAGACAGACGCTTCTCTCCAGTCGCCTCTGAACCGCTGGCTTGGGCGTTACGAAAGTATGCATCCCAAGACTGTTGCAAATATAGCAAGAGCACATTTCAAAAGGTCAAATTTTCTTATTAATTCAAAACAAAAAAGCTTCAGGGTCATCTGATGTTGAAAAGACCATTTACTCTCACTCTAATGTCATTTCAATTCCATATGACTGTGTAACTCAAAAGGAGATATTTAGCAAAATGTCCAAGCTTTTTATTTTCTCTAGTCCCCATCCACTTTTACTGTACAGAGGAGCTTAAACTTTCTGCTAAATACTTCATCTTGTATTCCATGCAAGACAAATTACATTAGGGTGATTAAATGATCACCAAGGTCATAGGTTTGAGTCTCATGCAATGCATGAACTGATCAAATGTTTACCCTGAATGCAATGTAAGTTGCTTTGGATAAAAAAAAAGTGTCTGCCAAATGCATACTGTCAATGAAGAGTTCAGATGCAAAAGTCTCTAAGCGCCGTCTGAAATTTTGAAAGTGCCTCAACTGAAAAAAAGAAAACTTATTTTATTTCAGCTAGTTGCCAAGTCAAAATTTCTCAATATCCTTAGGTGAAGAACTAAAATAACTACAACTAAATAAACAAAAAACAAAACTTGAAGCTAAAAAAAAAAGACATTTATAAAAATAATATTAAAAATTACTCAACAACACAACAAAATTACTTAAGCTTCAACTAAAATTAAAATGAAAACATCAAAGAAAGAAAAAGCAAAAATAAAATCTAATTCAAAATATTAACAAAATATAATAGCATATGTTACTACAATAATACTTTAACACTTATGTAAATGCCAAAGTCTGAAGTTAGCAAAAGGAGTTTACAGATTGGAAATGTAACAGAATATATTAGATAAATTTTAGCATTGCATTGCACTTATTAGCAAGCACACTAGGTTTCTGAAACGTGACGGAGTTGGAGTGTCTTTAGTAGATGTTCACTGCACCTCATGAACATTTTTGTGATCCTCCAGCCAAGCGTAGTACATCTCCACGACATAGCTGGAGCTGCAGGCTGCCAATGAGGGCTCAGCAGCCCCGCTCGAACAGTTACGACGTGGGTCAAAAACTCGCCTCCCCACATGCCCCCTCATCCATTGGCTACTGCTTCTTAGGGCACCAGCTAGGGACCTCAGCTGACTCATGTCTGAAAAACTTCATAAATATGAAACACAAATGTATTATGGCGGAATTAATCAACAGATCTGTTCTTGGAAGGTCTTGAAAACAATGTTTTAAACATTAGTTTTTATAAAAAATTCAGAAAGTGTGTATTTGTGTAATTTAACCCTGAAAACACTAGCTTTTAATCTGGTTAGTGGTGATTTAGCCACCCTGTTATGATGTTCACCAACACAACTTGTTGGTTAAGCTAGTTTACAAGCATGGTACTTCAAGTGAAGATAGTCAACCAATGTGGTCTTTCTGGTTTTGAATTTAAGCAGGCTAGTTGTATGAGTTGGTAGGGTGACCTGCTTCATGTACATTAATAATAATAATAATAATAATCTAATGTACAACTGAGTGTATTGTAATGATATTTTCCAAAAGTAGGCTACTATTTATTTTTTTAAAAAAGAGAAAAAGTAAAACAAAACTGCACCTGCACCTTTAAAAATATCCTCGTTGATGCCGCCAGTGCATTTATGGATGTTCTTATGGATTACTAAAACCATATTGCGCATAAAAAGGATGCTCTATCTATAGCCTAGCTTCAAGTACCGGCGATTTATGAAAAGCCCTTTTAAATAGAGCTCGACCTTCATCTCCACCTTTTCAATGACAAATTGGTTTGAACAACGTAAAAGCCCGTTTCCACAATCACTTCCAATACATTTATGCGATGCAAATATATGAGCGGACAGTCGTAAAGATGCATCGATTGGCCGATTGGTTACAGCTTTTACGCATCTAGGTTATATGTCTCTATTCGCTCGACACACCTAACGGCGTCCATGTAGCTCTTCCTCTATGTCGTAACAAATATATTTCACCTTGGCTGCCCGCAGATGAAGATGGTCCGCTTGAGTTCAAATGCGTTCTGTGTCGTTTGATTCAGGCTGGAGTTTGTTTTCTCTGTCCTATAATCTCTCCAACGTCAATCCGTCCCATAATCCGCGTGCAGGCGGTACTGCAGTCGGTCACTTTGCTCTAAACTGCAGCATCAAAAATAACACCTGGTTTAGAGTATCATTTCTTTGACTTTTGCTCTTTGTATAGTTGTGCGGTTATATAGCGTTTTTACGTTGCTACACCATGAACTACTTCACACTTATGGGCAAACATTCAATTCACTACAATTGCGTCAATGGACACAATAAATAATGCACGAGAAAGCACCTGAGCTGTGATGCCTATATGGAAAGGATCAGATATAACCTACCTGCATATCGGAGTTCGGTACCAATCAGAATTGAAACAAGTGAGAATGCCTTGGAAATCGCTCATTTTGAATTGTAGAAGTAGTTAAGATGAAATTGCATAACCCTAAACATAATATGAGTAAATGGGAAAATTAATAAATAAAATGGCATAGTTATTAAACAAAAATATGAAAATGATTATAAAACAGATCAAATGATTACAATTCATTATACACAGTATATTATACAATTATATAAATAAAAAATATTATATGTAATATATATATTTTTAATAGAACTATAAACCAAAACCGTTAACCATCATTATTAAAGCGCTGGTTGACTCATCAAATTCAGGCTAAAAATGGACACTGAATAAAATGCTTGGCTCTTCCACATCCTATACTATGCTTTTAATGCACTTTCCTTTTAATAAAGGTTAAACGGTAATTAACAGACAAGCATAAACACCGGCAACCACCACGTTTAAAATTCAATGAAATATTTATAAAAATGACTTCACATTAAGTTGTGCCAGGGCTTAATGAGAACATTGATATTTTCAGTAACCCCCGATTCTTAATCACATTAGACAATTACGCTTTCCTAATTTTCTGAGGGATTGTGCAGAATTCACTTGACCATGTGGTTTCAGTCATCTAGATTGATGGTCTTTATGTTGGCGGATTTTACAGTCTGAGCTAATTGCCTTCCCTCCCCCTCAGTACCTCAAAACTAGTTTCATCACTCTTAGTGGCCAACAACCAGAAAAATAAAGCATTGTCATTAATCATCACTGGGCTGCTATCATGGTCGTTTCAACAGGCATGATTAAAATACAGCATTAAGAGAATGCCAAATGCACGATTTTCAGGATCAAAAAATTATGTGTGACCTTTTTATGTGTGGAAAAATATACTATCAATTCTGACTCTTAAATAGAGATATTAACATTAGCGATAGTCTGCACATTTGTACTATATGGAACAGCATTCATGCTAGAAGCACAAAAAGTGCTGCATAACAGTGGAATAGTACAAGATGCCATATGTGCCTCAGGTTCATATTGTGGTGCTGTTATACATGTCGTTATAATAAAACATCTACATTTGTCCCTCTCGGTTCTTGATCAGTGCCATAATCGAAACTCTAGATTGAAGCACTGTCAGAGCAAAAAGCGTCTTGTAGCCAAGCATAAGTAAGGTCATGCAATTATAAGTGAAAATGCCATTTTGGTGCTCTCTGACTTCAGCTCTTGAAACAGATGGAGCCGAACGCCTTCCTTGGTAGGGATCTTATTAAAGTCAGCCGTCATTTAAAAAAAGAAATATAATTTGATATGTACATGCCCACATTTTCATTCTTCATGAAACAAATGTTGACAAGAATGTAATGCTTCTTAACTCATTTCATTGACATTTCAATTTCTATTAAAGTCTGGCCCTTTATTGACCCTAGTATTTGAGAAAACAAGGGGATACAGCATTTGTTATAAAACAATAGAACGGTTATAAGGGACCATCTTTTGGTCGCCAAGTGGCACTTGTGCTCTGGGCTGAACTGATGAAAACCTTCAAAAGCATTTGAGGTTGATTAGGAACAGTCTTGACAAAAGATGGTGATCAAAAGAGGTCAGTTAGGTCAAACTAGAACTACAATTTATGACTCTAACATGGTTCAATTAAGCAGCATTATATACAATTAAAGTGTATACATGCTGGACAAAGGCAAAACTAAGCTACAATATACGTCTATTGGTCAGATTTTGCAAAAATCTGAGTGTTTATATATATAAAAGACCGAAAGGATAATTTTTCATTGTGATGACTTTGATAGATGGCATTGACTTTGTAACTGAGCATATATTATTTAATACATTTTATAAATCATAAGTACTGTAAATAAGTAAAAGTCATTAAATATAGTGCATCCAGCTGTTGGTAAAATCTGAGGTTTGCATCCACATGTTGAAAAAACAGCTGACAAGTGTATGAATCAACCATTTTAATTATCAAATCATAATAAAATAAAGAGCAAAACATATGAAAATATTCACTACCTTTAAATATCAACCCCATTTCTTGAAGGTGCCTTTAATCAAAACAATAAATGAAACTGTAAAAACCTTGAGCGTAATAAATAGCTAAAAATGTCATGCAGAGACTATATGTTTTCCCACAACCTTGATTTGCAGCAGTTCCATTAGTGTGATATTTCCTTTTTCACATCTTTCATTGTCAAACCTTTTCATATTTGAGGAATTAAAAAAGGATAAGTCGTGTGCAATACATTTCATAATCAAGTGTCAAAGGGGACTTTACTGTGTATTTAGAGGTTCTCATGCATATTTTATGTCATGTCTACACACTTTTTTATGAATCACTGTTAGTTCCTGAATAAGAAAAAATAAATAAAGACTACACCTTGGTCACCCAATTAAATGATGGATCATTTAATTTCCTAAGATCATGCAGTAAATTTAAACCTAGGGAAGCTTGTCTGGCATTCCAGAAAAACTATCCCAGGATCAAACCTAGATGATGTTCATAAGAAATAAGGATTTACAGTCTATTGCTATACTTTCTGTCCCCTTATTCATAATGACTTGAAACTTACTCACCGGTACAAAAAAAGAAAAAAGGAAAAGAAAGGCATAATGTGCTCAAGACAATCACCCAAAAAGTCTTTCTAAAGGAAAAGAAAGCACTGCGGCATTTGGACAAGGTTGAGTTAGCCGTCGACCAGCATTAATGGCAGTCTGCAGGACAGGGGGAAGGCGCAGTGGTTAAGTTGCTGTCGCTGGGGCTGGGCTCGGGGTCCATATTTGTATTGACCTTATCATAGATGTACCCATAGAGGCTGATGTTAGGCCTCTGGAAATGCTTAGACACCACATTAGAGTACTGCTTTAAGTAGAAGTACAGAGTGCCTGAGAGACAGAGAGAGTAAAAGAGAAAGACGGGGAAAAAAAAGATTTGAGGGATGGCAAGCATCATGGTGTCAGCCGAGTCTAGAGCCATTCATAAATCACAGAGCGCATGAGTTTACTGCCGTCTCCACTTTAGTACAATAGATGGCTAACAGCGTTTTCTCAAAAAGGTTTCAATAAATGTCACAAAGGAAAAATGGGACAGAAACAGTGGGGTCAGTTGAGACAGAACTTCACAATACCAGAGCACTAATGGTATCATTTAATTATGCGAAACAAATGGTTCAATATTGCAGTAATTTCAAAATGAGCGAATGTATTGTACGGTTTGTCATATTTATTTGATTTTTACACACACATACAACCATTCGAAAGTTTAGTCAGTAAGATTAAAAGAAATTAACACTTATTCTGTAAGTATACATTAATTTAATCAAAAATGTCAGTAAAGACTTTTACATTGTTATAAAAATAGTATTTTCAATAAATGCATCAAAGATTTCGGAAAACAAAAGTAGCATAATTTCCACTAAAATATGAAGCAGCAAATCAACATATTACAATGATTTCTAAAGGATCATGTGACACTGAAGGCTGGAATAACGGCTGCTGAAAATTCCGCTTTACCACCATGGGAATAATGCATGACATTTAAAATTTATATATATATATATATAAACTTTTAAATAGTAGCAATATTTCACAATATTACTGTTTTTACTGTATTTTTAACAAATATATGCAGCCTATACACACACACCTCCAATGAGCACAAACATTAATTTTTAAAAATGTGCATGAGAAATCTGAAACAGATCTGTCTAACAATGATGCAAATGTAACAGGCCCCTTACCGACAGTGACGCACTTGTCTTTAAGAAATCTGTACATGGCATTCACGTCCCTCATGAGTTCCTCATCTCCAAAAGTGAAGTAGGCCACATCTCTCCCTGCCTCAGAAGCTGCCATTAACTGCAGCAGAGCTGGAAGGACAAATGGACACAGCTGACAGTGAGCAAAAGTTTCACTGGGTCTGCAGCCATAAACACCATTTAGAAAGCCTTACATATTTCACATTCATTTCTCTTTAAAGCATGCATCCCTAAACAGAAATGACATGCATACATTCATGAATGGATTCCTGTCATTAATTCATGGGAATATACAATACAAAAGAAGAAAAATGCTATGTAGATACCCCTCCCACCCCCATTAGCAAAATGAAGGGCCAATCAACCGCTGCATGTTCCATGTATGACTGATATTCTCTGAGGTTCCCGAGTAAATACTGACAGCTGCCCAACTCAAATGACTAAACATGGTATAATACATCACTAACTACATAGTGTGGATTCTTTTGTTGTGCTCCATGTTCCTAGCTGTAGAAAAAATAACTGACATCCGATTTTTTTTTTTTTAAAGGTAAATAATCCATGTCTAACAACCCCTATTGAGAGACTCAATCTTAGTCACCCAGCTTCAAATTGAGTCTAAAGATTTTAAATATTTAAAGAGGTTGAATGTAGCCCACTGATGAATGAACGTTGTTCAAATGAGAGCAACCAATTACAATGGGTAATCTGTAGTCAAACCAGCGCTAAACTAAACGGATTGGCCCAAAAAATTCAAGATGAATTTACTGTGTGGCAAGTCATTGGGAGAAATTAACTAACTCCACACATACAGACGGCCCATGGTTCAGCAATGATGAACTATCAAAGATGGAATCATCTTATGAAACAAGTTTCCAGCCTTACAACAGAAAACGATCAGCTGGCACAAGCTTGCCATGAATTTATGGATGAGGTTGGAAAATCAGTTGCACTTTTAATGGAAAACAAATGTGTGTCAGCTGATCAATAACAGGAAAGTGGAAAAACATGTCTTGGGTCAAAAAACAAAGTGAGAGAGCTTCTCTGTATTGTCTGATTGCTAAAACACAACAAAATCAGAGGTGATTAAAAAAACAATGAAAATCTAGAGATAAATATGCTCAACTATGTAGGACTATTTCTCATACTCCAAATTATAATGCTGTGATGCCTACATTCATTTGTAGCATTTAAGAGGCTGATTTAAGGTTTTATTTTATTAGACAGTAGGGCTGGTCCGAATACCATTTTTTGAACTTCGAATCTTCGGTAGTAATCAACACCGAATATTCGAAGCTTCGGAGGGAGGGGGCTGAACATATTCTTCTCTCCAAAGGCAGGAATCTCTGTGTGTCTGTCTGTCTGTTTGCATTTTTATTATGTCGAGAACCATTCATCCAGTCGACTTCACGCGTGGCGGGTGTGTTGCAGACCCAAGGGAGTGCAGTGTCGCATTTTGGTGCAATATGGACACGCGACACATTCAGAATTAATAAACTTTTAATAAACTACAGAACAGCGCGAGCCGGAGGCGGCGCACCTCACGTGGGCAGGGCTTATATGCTTCGAGAACGAACACTGCACTAGTGAAACAAAACACAGGTCTGTTAAGAGCAATACTTTTAATATAGTACAATACTTTTAATATAGACGTTTTTTATGACTGCCGTATTCACACGTATTTTTCAAGCAAATTAAGTGCACGTTTTTATCATGTGTAAAATTACTGATTAACATGGCGGATAAAAGCAGCTCGTTTTTTTACACCAACAATATACTATAGGCGTACTTAAAGAACTCAGGTGATTTTTCAAACTTGATGTGCTGTTGTGGTAGGCCAGTTTCAAATCGCATATTTGGCACACTTGCGCCCTGCATTTCAGCCCGGGCCCAACTGGCCCTGACGTTTTTATGCCCCACGGGTCGGGCTTCGGGCCAATTTTCACGTCATAGTTCAGACGCGGGTCGGGCCTCGGGCCTGTTTTAGGCTTCTCCTAATTTTTATATTTTAGACATCCATCAATTAGTGATGAAAAAATTGCCGCGCTGGTGGAAACAACACTAGACCATGCTGTCAAGAGCGGCTCCGTTCAGTGTCCTGCCAGCAGCAGCAGCAGCATGCGTGCCATCAGCGCAGCTGAAGAGTTCTGCGTTCAAATGCACGCAATAGGCTAAAGCTTGCCGCAAAGCCCCAGTAAAAGTAATTACCATGAATGTGTCAGGGGGAAATAGTAAGGAGATATTTGAATGATTTACTAATAAACTAGTGCTTTCTGAGTCCGTGTTGCAAAGATGAAGATGACGATCCTGACTCGACATCTCTTCATTAGACACGCCTTTAGAGAGAAGTGCATCTTTACAGATTATGATTGTAATGAAAGTGTTTTTGTTTTCGATTTGTTTTATTTTGTTAAGTGGTCATTTAAAGCTTTCTATAGATTTATTTATCATGCCTGTGAGGCATGTATTCGCTGAGTTTCGATTCATTTTTGTGAAGCGCTCCTGTTCAAGACGAGACGGCAGAAAGCGCATCATGTTTGTTTTCTTTATTTTATAAAAGCACAACGTTTTGTTGATATTGTGAGTGCACACAAATACAAGTATAACATTTACAGTTCCGAATGATGTATTATTCTTACCTTTATGAGCAAAAATTACAGCGTAGGCTATTTTAAGTTGTTTCCACTGAAAAGAAAAAAATGCAAGTGATTGCGCTGGCGCCTCCATGTCCTGCAAAGCGCGCTTCAGCTTCCACTCTCCGCACAAACTTGGATATAGCGCACATTTATTATAGCGCAGGTTTAACGTTTAAACATTGTTATATGCTTGAACTGTTTTAGTATATCTAGATTTTATTTTAGGCAAGTCGTGATGATTTGAGAAGGCTAAATTGATCAAACATAGGCGATCAGCTCACTGTCTGCCGCTTGGTCGTTACTTTAAAAAACAAAAACTTATATTTAACGAACGAAAATGCTCCAAACGTTTTTCTAAATTTACTTAATAAAAAAAATGAAACTAAATATAATCATTTATCTATTTTAATAGCTGAAAGAGTAGTAAAAGCTGTTTTGGGAGAAGGGGGAAAAAAAGACGGGCTTGGGTCGGGCTCAGTAATTCTGATAAGCTGTCGGACAAGGGCCAGGGCCTGAGCGTCTCGGGCCAGGGCCAGGGCCAGGGCCAGGGCCAGGGACGGGCTAGGGCCTAAATTTGAGGTCCATGCAGGGCTCTACTGCCTTTGTCTTGTCCTCACTCAATTTAAAGTGCTCCCACACAGCTGAGGTCTTCGATACTTTTGTCTTCTCTTCCAGATTAACTGAATCATGACGTTCACTCATGGGCGATTCATATTCAAGCGTGAATGAGAACCGTTTTGCGGGGGATACCAGGTGTTCGGAAAAAAAAGAAAAGAATATTAGAATCTCAAAATTGAAAATCGAATGCCAACCCACCAAATGAATATTTGAATAATCTAATATTCTGGTAAAGCCCTATTAGACAGTACAGCAATATAGACTTTAAATATCAGTCATTAATGAGTTATCGGCCATAAAATGATAATTAACAGTTAGAATCTCAATCATGGTCATAATTGTAATATTGGTGCATGAAAATTCAGACAGAAATGTCCTATAAGAATCCATCTTTAAAACTGTGTAGCTTCACTTTGTAAGGAACAGATGATGGTTTTATTTTCCATTCCACGACCTGCATGTACCTTTGAGTCGCGTGTCGCCTCCAAACGCACCACATCCCCAGTTTCCTGTGGCAACAGCGGAGAGGTTCTCAGGGTTCACAGCAGGTCGCATGAAACCGCAATATGCCTGAAAACAGGAGACAGCCATATATCGTAGAAAAACAAATACAAGCTAATCACAGCAGAATACAAGAGACTCACAAGAAGACTCATGTCATGCCTCATTAAATTCTCTAAGCAACACAGACTGGCAAGGTTAAGGAAATCAAAGGCCATTATAGCTTGACAGAGGTCAAGGATTTGCCATTTGCCATTTCATGTCATCAGTGTGAAACACAGAAGAATATTTGCTTGAAGACTTTGCTGACCTTGTTTAGCTCCCGGATCATTTTCTCAGGCTGAAACTGTTCCATGAAATTCCTGTATTTCAGTGCATCCACAGCCACAATTTCAGTGCACCTCCGCTGCCACCCGTCTCTGAAAATGGGAAAAGATGTTTATTTTATTCTGGGCTTTTTACTATCCGCAAACCATGGCTTGGTTATATTCAGGATAGCTAACTACATTTTTTAAAGTGTAGGAACCCATTTAAGAGGTGTTTCCTAAAGTTAGTATAATCAGTAATCCATTATTGCCATTACATGGGAATCTCATCTTTGTGATTGGCTTTCCATCTGAAGCTCTCTGCATAGCCAGAGTACTTGCTATATTGCTCTGTGCCTAAAGGAAGACCAAATAAATAAAACAGAAATACATAAGTTGAGGGTAATTCCTACTACAGTGTCCATAACATTTTCTTGTCCCCAACATATTACAGAATGAAATAACTTTAGATAATCACAAAATCAAAATGATGTGAACATTAAGGTGAGATTTATACATGCAATTATTTATAACTTAATAATAATAAGTTAAGTGAGGATGTTTTTTGTTTTAGGATTTTACCTAAGCAAAGGCTCTGAGAACCTGACACCTTCTAATTCTGGAGACGCTTGCAGTTTTGGAAAGTGGCTCCTGTTGGTTTCACATCTAACTCTTCACATTAATTCTTAATTATTTTGCAGTTAACCTGTTTTTTTCTGACCCAATGAGCATTTCGCTGTCCAATGGCCTTAAATTGGCAAATTCTAGTACTGCATTACTATTGCATCCTTCTCATAGGTATATAATAATTTTTGACTTTTCATTCTGAGTTAAATCTCTTTTTTGGCTAATTTTATCTGTAAAAGAAAACCTTCTTGATAATTATGCACACCTGAATATAAGGAGTTTTTCACTTCCAGCCTTCATGAACAATTATATATAATTTATAAATTATTAAATAATGTGATTAGATTGATGTGGTTTGGAATTGGTAAAATGTGCTTGGAAAAAATATTATCAGAATATCAACTTGCATAATAATTATGCACGCACAGAAACAACCATATTATAATACTTGATGACTTTATATAAGCAGCTATAAGTATGTGTGCAATTTTCCTTCTTAATTTTTATTTAATTGCATCTCTTTCATTATTTATAATAAGATGTCCAATATTACAAAAAGGTTGTTTCTGATAAAACTAGACAACTATGATATTATAAGCTATTTTATAAGCTAATATAAAATAGTAATAGCAGTATTAGTAATAATAATAATGATTAATATTACTATTATTATTTTTATTGCTTAGAACATCCATGTAGAAAAACTATATATAGTTTTCCAGTTCTATCAGAAACAACTATACTATAACTAGCTAGAAGCGCCCTCATTCAATATTGCACAGAAATTTCCTTCTTGATTGTTTCTTAATTGTATACATCTATTTTATTACTTTTAGGATGCTCAAATCAAACCACTTGCTTAAGTGACTGTATCCTGATGGAAAAAAATGCTTCCAGACACTGCGCATCTCCCAACTATCATGAAGACCTCTAGAATCCTCCTCCCTCACCCTGATCTAATTAGCATTTGTGGCCGGTTTCAGTGGCACTCTGACAAAGAGCAATTTCAAGATTAAAATCCAGCCCCTGTACCAACGCTTCAGCATTTCTGCCAAGTCTACTGACGCAGAAAGAGTGCATTAAGGAGCGTGTGTCATGATGCATTACTGGCGGGATATGATTTGATGCAAAGGCGAACTGCAGTGCAATAGAAACGACGATGAATATTTTGTTTGTTGTAATAACCATGATGGAATGGCTGGATCCATTAGAGAAGGTCGTTCCCGCAGTCATTCATTGTGGCCAGAGGTAATACTGTTAAGTGGAAGGAGGAGGCATCAGGGGTGGGAGAGAGAACGTAAGTGAAAGAGAGAGAGATGACTAATATCTGAGGGTATTTTGAGACTGGGGTAGTAAGCTCCAAGTTCACAGTGACTTTGAGGCTGATTTGCAGAATTATAACTCACTAACACAGCTCTGAAAATGACTTCCCAGTGGTGTATAACCACTTCTGTGCCAGACTTCCTGGAAATTACATATTAGTTTGAAAGCCACAATATTTTGATTAACAGTTGTGCATCTATGCAACAGTTTGAGTCCTGTGCTTTGTTTGGAAGATGACAGAGTGCATGGGTCTAGAATCCTCCTCCCTCACCTTGATCTAATTAGCATTTGTGGCCGGTTTCAGTGGCACTCTGACAAAGAGCAATTTCAAGATTAAAATCCAGCCCCTGTACCAACGCTTCAGCATTTCTGCCAAGTCTACTGACGCAGAAAGAGTGCATTAAGGAGCATGTGTCATGATGCATTACTGGCGGGATATGATTTGATGCAAAGGCGAGCTGCAGTGCAATAGAAACGACTATGAATATTTTGTTTGTTGTAATAACCATGATGGAATGGCTGGATCCATTAGAGAAGGTCGTTCCCGCAGTCATTCATTGTGGCCAGAGGTAATACGGTTAAGTGGAAGGAGGAGGCATCAGGGGTGGGAGAGAGAACGTAAGTGAAAGAGAGAGAGATGACTAATATCTGAGGGTATTTTGAGACTGGGGTAGTAAGCTCCAAGTTCACAGTGACTTTGAGGCTGATTTGCAGAATTATAACTCACTAACACAGCTCTGAAAATGACTTCCCAGTGGTGTATAACCACTTCTGTGCCAGACTTCCTGGAAATTACATATTAGTTTGAAAGCCACAATATTTTGATTAACAGTTGTGCATCTATGCAACAGTTTGAGTCCTGTGCTTTGTTTGGAAGATGACAGAGTGCATGGGTGGATGAGAAATGAGAGGGACAGCAGGTGTGTGAGTGGGCAAAAGCCAATCACAGCGCAACATTTCTACACGGCTGTGACTGCAGTCATTCCTTAAAAATAAGGAGAGCATTCAACTACGCAAACAGAAGAAAAGATTTGACTCTCTTGTCAACCATTTAAACCAACATGGTTCTAAGTGATGTCTGTCTGACTTTGAATGTAGGTTTTAAGTAAAGCTGGATGATACTCAGTGATTGACAAGTAACTCTGTTCCATTTTAATAAAAAATAAAAATAAAAAAAAGAGCAAGAGGAAAACGCAAAGCTCACTTTGTATCCTGTCTACATCACCAGATAGGAAAACAAAGACACATGGCACATCATGGTGTCAGCCTTGGAAGAACCATTTTTTATATAACAATGCAGGAGGTCATACATTTCAGTTTCTCCAAGCCGTCATAGTTTTTCAGCCTCAAATTTCCCTTGAGAGATACTAATAATTTAGAGAAACATTTATGACACATCACGGTTATTTACAGCAACTAAAACTGTACCAAAAAAATTGTTACCTGACATAAAATATAAATTTTAAACTGAAATAAAATGTCTATAGTTTTTTTTATTCATTTTTATTTTAGTTTGTTATATTAGTGTACTAAGTTAAACTAAATTAATAAAATAAAAAAAAGTAATAAAAGTAAATTAAAAACTAAAACAAAAAAAAAATTTAAGTGAAAATAAAAGATACTAATATAGTATATCTGATACTAAAATAACACTGTGACACATTTTGGATTGGCATATAATTTACAAGCATTACTTGTAGTAATTATGTAATTATTCTTTGTAATTATTTAAATGGATGGTTCAACCAAAACAAATTACAAAAATTAAAAATTAAAAGTAAATGTTTTTTAAAAATGGCTGTTTTTTTTATTATACATTGAAAGTCAATGGTCACCAAAACTGAACATTCTCCAAAATATCAAAATGTCAACATTACTGTTTAACATAATGCAGTGTGGCAGCTCTTGTAGGCTGCATTTACATTGCAGTTATTGACAAATTAATTTTCAATGACATTTCCACCAATCATTTGTGATTAATTTTAAAATCTACTTTGATTGAGCCAACTGAATTTTGATTCTTATCAATGAATCGCTTAAACTGCTTAAACTAATTCATTAGTAAACTTTACTCTTAAAACAGTTCTTAAGAATCCATAACTAGTAATCAAAACCAATAGCCATCAGGTAACCTAAGTACCGCTAATACTGAATTGACTAGTATTAAAACCTCTTCAAGTTTTTTTTCTTATTGATCGGCACTGAAGTACCACTACTTTCTACTTTCCTGTGTGTGTATCATTCTGTAGCAATAGAGGTAGGAAAGGAGCAGCAGGGATCACATGCTACAAACAACAAGTGAGGAAGGAAAGAGACAACCTGCTTGTAATGTATCGGATGCAGGACATTTACTCATGACCTGGGCTCCTCTCCAATCCTGCCACTCAGTCAAAAAAGCACAGATCATAAAGGATGAACAGAGTGATGGAAGAATAGCACAGAGACAGAGAAAGACACAGAGGAAGAGGGAGAGATATTTAGTGTGAGGAAAGGGGGGTTGTCACTTAACGTGTTGACTCAAGCACAGCGAGTTGGAGGGTGAAAAATAGGGCAATTCAGCTAGAGAGAAATGAGGAATAACAGGGCTGCCCTGAGTCCAGCGTGAATCAATGTAATGGATTTACGTTCAAATTGGATGAGGAGGGAAGATGGGGGGAGGGGGTGGTAAGAATGGAGCTGAATGTATACACAAGCTTCTGCGAGAAATGGCAAATTGCTAGCGGCAAAAACATATGAGGTGCTATCCAGCTCACTATAAGTAGTGTTAGAGAAGCGTGATTACAGTGACTGACTTTATTAGCAGATGAAATCAAACCTGATCCCTCCCGATAATCGGATCTGGCATCAAACATAGATACCTAATAACATCTATGATTACTTTACTCTATCTTGATTCAAACCCCGCAAAATAAGATGAGTGATTTTATGATGTTTGTTTCTATTAATGGCTTTTGAATGTTTACAATATTGCTTCAAACAATGTGCTAAAAACCTGTGACAGTACCATCTAGTGCCTTCCAAATTGTGAATGAATCTTCTCAATGAATGAAGTGCAATATGATTCACTCAACGAACCACTGAATTACTTCTGGCCATCTCTGATGACTCAAAGAGAACCAAAATCTTCTGCTGTGTTGTGACGAAAAACTTGTGACGAATAGTTCACAGTAAGTACAAAAACCAAAACTAACTAACTAACTAAATAAATACATTTATAATGGTCTTGTTAAGGCAAAGGCTTTCACACTGGATCCACAAGGAGGAAAATGTAATAATAATTTGTTTTGTCAGTTGTTGTTTAGGCAACTTAAATTGTTTAGGCAATTTACCATGAAATATTTTTACTAAACATTAATTTAATTCCAATAACTAATACATTTACTAAATTAAAAAATATTATGCTTTCTAGTTTCATTATTAGTTTCTATGCTTTTTGGTGAAAAGTGCTACATAATTTTAATTTCTTATAATTGAAATTTCTTTTCATGTTTATACAAGATACACTAAAGCTAATATTTTTGCCTTTGCTTTAGAACAATGACAATAAATAAGCCAATCATTTTATTTAGGAAACAACACTATCTTCATAACATCACGCTTTATTTTTCCTCACACAGTACAAATGCAGTTGCCATGTTTTTTTGAAAGAGGTCCCTCGCAAAGATATTGCCATAATTGGAGGTCCTTGGCATTAAAAATTTGAAAACCTCCATGTTAAAAAGGCAGAATCATTAAAATTTGTTATGAATCCTAAGCCAACTTATTATATAATGAGCCATAGGTTCATCTAAGTACAAAAAAGGTAATATTTTCACACATTTTAGACAACCAAGTTCAAAGTGTTTGAACAGCTAGAAGGGAGGAACAAGACACTTCAGTAGTGGCTGAGATCAATCAGACAGAGATGCGTGATGGTGTGCAGGACAGACGACAGGGAGGAGCGGACCTCTTCCACTGCTGTGCATGTGTGTGTGCTGACCTGTGATGATGAGGCACTCATTGTGGTCCAAAGCTTCTGTGAAGAGGCGTGATACCATGAGCTCAGGGTTGACGATGAAGCGTATCTCCTCCTGGACCAACCCCATACCTGTCACCCCTCCACCCACGAGCCTGTTCGCAAAGTCCACCTGCAGCACAAATAAAAACACATTCATCTTCTGCAAAATTGTTCAACTGGTCTAAAGTGTAAAAATATATGATTTCATCCTTGGTGTGAAATAATGTTACGGTACAGAGATATATGATACTTGTCTGAACATTCAAATAGTCAGACTGTAAGCCAGGTTGTCTGTCCAGCATGTCACCAGAGATTATAGGTTCTGGGTAGGGGACAGGGTGCTAAAATGCACAAGGGTGGAAAATAGAGTGCTCTACCCGACTGTGCGTAAAACTACAAAAGATGAGAAAAGTAAAAGGAGGAAAGAATTTTCTGCACCGTTCTGGGGACCTTTAAATTGTGCACAAGTTTTGGTGCATGTACAAATCCAAAATTAACTTTTTGCTACACCTGCTGATTTTTCTCATCTGCCATGAAATTGTAATTAAAACGAAACAAAATAAAAATCTTTGGGTATAAAAAATATCAATGTGGTAAATAATTAAAATAATAAATAAATAAATAAAATCCAAAATTATAATTAATAAACATGAAAACATTTTTCACTTTTGTAAAACACATGCATAACAGACTTCTGTCCACTGTGACCAAGGTCAAATGTCCATTCCCTCTTTGCTGAATAATGGATCTTTTAAGGACTGGCCATTAGCCATAAAGGTCAGATAATTCAAACAAATGAGTAAATATGTTCACAGCTTCTAGGCAGACCATTTAAGCTTTGTTCTCATGTAATACTCTTGTATTTTTATTTAGAAAAGTATTTTATACTACCACACATTATATGACCATGGACCACAAAACCAGTCATAAGGGTAAGATAATAATATATAATCATATAAATAAGCTGAATAAATAAGCTTTCCGTTGATGTATGGTTTGTTAGTTGTATCTCAGCCAAATATTGTCCTATCCTATTTGAAGTTATGGAATCTGAGGGTGCAAAAAAATCTAAATATTGAGAAAATAGCCTTTAAAGTTGTCCAAATGAAGCCCTTAGCAATGCATATTACTATACAAAAATGAAGTTGCTACAAATTACACGGTATGTGCGACTTATGACTGTTTTTTTGGTCCAGGGTCACATATTACATTATACAACTAGAGTATATTATACGTGCTACTGGTATTAGTATTTATATACCATATCAGGGCTCAACAATAAGGGTGGCCTGATGTTTTCCAGAAAAGTGTCTAAATTATATCATATACTTACATCGCAAAAGTTTTTTTTGTAAAGAAAATTTTAAATTAATATAATTAACAGAATATTGACATTTTCTGACATAACTAAAAATGGTTTTGCACTGCTATTTATCACATTTGTGGCACTAAAATGTTGAAAGGGCAAAAATGACAAAGTGCAGGAGAAAATAAATAAATACATATAAAACAAAATACATAACTATATGAGTTACATGAGCGACTGGCTTGTGGCACTGCTAAATTCTGTTGTGGAAGCCATTTCCTCAGTGCTGTCTCCTATTGTTATGCATTTTTATATTTCAAAGACTGGGAGTGTGAGCAGCAGTGCTAATATTGGCCCAGGACAACTTTGAAAAGGTAAACAGGGGAAGTGTAGGACCCCTTTGAGGCTGTGTTTTGCAGGCTGTCAGGCTGGACTCACTGGGCCACAGCCTCCTCAGTGAGATGGAGGAGAAAAGGGGAGGGAGGTTGGCAGGCTGCCAGATGATCTCGCTGATCAGGTCACTCAACTCCAGCTCCGACCGCCCCGCCTCTCCTCAGCACTACTGACAACCTGTCAGACTGTCCCACCCTTCCGGAAACATCCGTCAATGCGGCCGGCAGAACCCCGGGCTCCTGGGACCTCCCAGGGCTGTTCATGTGTGCCCATCAGCTGTCAGGGTGTGCCCTGCCCCAACTGGGGAGAGATGGGAAAAGGAGAGCAGGGCAGAAGACCCGGCAGACAGACTCTGCGATGAACTCGAGAGGTGCAGGGAGGAATGTGATCGGGGCCAACGGATCTGCCGAACCTCAGTCAGTTGGGTCAACAATGAGATGTTTAAGTTGTTTTTTTCATATTGCGTCACAGACTTGTCTGAAATCTTTGACACGTTATGTCCAATATGAATATGATATGCTATAAAAAAAAGGTGCCATTTGTACTTCATAAAAACAAAACAAAGCAAATCTAGACATATCAACAAAAAGACTCTCCTTGCTACAGTATATTATAAAATATGCATATTTTGGAGAAAACTTAAGATATGCATACTAATGGAAATAAATCTACTCTTTAGGCCCGTTCACACCAAAGAGGATAATATATAACTAGTGTTAAAAATCGCTCTGAATGTAAAAGAATAGCAGAGTCCATATGACAACTTATGATATTGTCGGAATCACTTCCACATAATTTTTCCCCAGCTGATGGAAGCTAAAAACACTGAAAACCAATCAGAATCAATTCTGCTTTAAAGAGCTTAAGCATTTAAAGAGACAGATGACAAAACTGAATGTTTATAATAAATAGAATGGTATCCTAAGTCATAATGGCATTATCATCCCTTAAAAAAGTTATTTTTTCAAGTACAAGTTAAAGCCTCCTCTTCTGCAAAATAATGAAACGTAATTTGTCTTCAAAAAAGTCATTTGGAAAAGAAAAGAAAAAAGCCAATATTGCCAAATTGGAAGAGGTACCTATTTTATAGAATGTTCCACTGATAGTTTTGGGGAAATATTATTTATTTTTATGTTCTCATTCAAGATAAACAGCCAGAATTACTTACAGCTAGAAAAGAATCAGCATCAGCATCAGAATCATACAAAAAAAGTATAATTAACAACTATGCAGACAAGTCCTTCTTAAGGAGAGAGGGAGGATGACAGAAAAGGTATTTTGTGTCAAAGCAATCTCCAATCTGACAGGTGTCACAGTCAAAACTACCCATGCATGACATTCTCACCTGAAGCATCCCGTAGCCTTCATCCTCTATGGTGCCCTTACAGGTGATATGAAGACGGGTGAGCTGTTTCTTTGAACTAAAGGTCAAAAATAACTTCATCAAAACACCAATGGCAAAATAACCACCACTCACTAAAACATTAATTTACAAGTACTGTTAAGCAACTGCATCATAAATAGTGGCAAGCTAGAAATGCTATAGTGAACCAGGAGTGGAAGGTTACAATCATGACTTAAGCTATTTGAAATACAACCATCTCAGCGGTAAGAGTTTTCTAATAAGCAAAACAGAGAGGTGGTTTGGCCTCGTCTGCACTACCAGAGAAAGCAATTGGCCAAAGTGACTACACAGTGCCAAAGTTCATTTATCAAGCACAAAGCGTTGTGAAGGAGTGATTTCAGTGAACTACTTTAAATGTCCGAGAGTCCTGTAGCACATTCAGAAATAAATCTGAGATTTATATAATGGTATATACCCTTTTTTTAAATCACTACAGTACTTGTCGTCATTAAATAAAGCCAACAACAACACTGTACCAAGCACTATAAATAAGGTACCTTTCCCATTTTGGAAAACCGCTCAAGCTCTGTCGTGTGAATGTGACAAGGCCAGTGGGCACTGAAAATGAAAAAAATTAAATTAAAAATCAGGAATATAATAAACATCAATTACACCACTTTAACCCTGTAAGGCCCACTGTTTTAGCTCCACTAAAATAAACCTGTACTTGTTTTTTAGCATTTAAGATCACATTTACACAACTAGTAGGTCCTATTGTTCAGTCTTGCAATGTTGTTGGGTGATATATCTTGTAAATAGGTCTGTTTACCTGGCCATAAACTTACACAACCTGCACACTTGCTTCAAGGGGCTTCACCTTTTTTTTATTGGACTGGATAAATCAACATGCCTAAAATATTTTTTTTCTGTGATTAGTAATATGTGTAGCTCACGCAAATATTATGGTACTGTTAAATACCTTGATTAAATTAGATTTTAAGCTTTTTATGTCAATGTTGTAATTTTACAACATTGGGCTAGAGTAGTAGCAAAATTTGCCTGTGCACCTTACACATTACATGAATGAATGAATGTCAGTGATAAAATATAATATTGATTTTTAATGTCTTATTACAAATTAAATGATTATTACAGTAAATGATAAGTTCAAGTTGAATTAAAAAATACATTATTTCTTTGAGAATTTTAAATTATTTGTCATGCAATATTTAAAACTAAATTTTAATATATACTTAACTGGTTTGGTTTTCTTTTCTGGGCTTAACTTGTTTGCTCAAATGTGTGCTTGATGCATGAGGGCCAGGTGATAATGTTCTGGAATGTGGGGGTTATACGTGCTATTATCATGATAATTATAAAACGGTTAGTTCTTTTCCTCGATTCTGATTGGTCAGCAGCAGTGTTTTATTCACGATACAGCACAGCTATGACCGCTTCACCCAACGTTCTGTGTATCACTGAGCAGCACCCTTAGCAACATAAACAATCTAGCATTAAAACTGTTCCGTGTATTATGTATTTCGGCAGAATTAAAGGGGTCATATGATGCTTTTTTAAAGATCATTATTTGGATGGAGCTGATTTTATGTAATGTAACCCAGAAGGTAACTTGTTATTGACAGAAAATAGCTGCTTTTTAGTTAGAAACTGACTGCTGACCTTTAATATGAGAAATATGTGTGAAAATGTGATTTGATTCAACAAGACAAGCACCTATTAAAGGATCTTATAAACTTGATTTCAATAACAAGACAAGCTGGAAATTGCTAGGGTGAGATGAATTTTTGTTAAAAAAAAAAAAAATCCACAGTACATGCCAGGCAAAATGAGTTTTGTGTACAGGTCTAAAAACTACAAACATTTTGCCAATATATAAAACACATGTTAATTATTTGGCCATTAGTCATGAATTTTAAAATGTAGTGTTTTTCACTAAATGGTAGCTATGGGGTAAAATGTGCCAGAAGTTTTAGGGCAAGTCGTCCCAGCGGCTCAATCTATATCATAGTGAGTCTTGTATTAAAATGCATGAAAATACTAATAACACATCTAATTACTAAATCATTCTAATATGCTGATTTGGTGCTTATGTAACATCTATTAGTATTATCAATGTTAAAAACAGTTGTGCTACTTAATACTTTTGAGGTATTAAACGTGTATAAAAATGTGATACATTTTCAGGATTCTTTGATAAAGTTCAAAAGAACAACTTTTATTTGGTAAGGAAAATTTTTGATTAATTTAATGCTTAAATCTTAGCGACCCCCAAACCTTTGAATGGTACTGTTTGTGATCAAGGATTTTCCCCCACAGTAACCTATTGTAAGTCAAAAATGTTAAATTAGTCAAATTGTTGATAATGGACAATGGACATCCAGAATTATAAATGATTTCTTCTTGACAAAAGGACAGTTAAGTAAACTGACACAGGTTTACCCCATTCGCACATAAATGTAATTCAATAAATGCAGTCGATGTACAACACAATGTAAATCTCACATAATCGAAGGTGACGAACATGGCAACAGATGTCAATTTGGCGGCTCCTAATCAATCTGAATCTTTACAAGAAACAATGACAGCTGTTCGGATCTCACTGGCGGATCTGTATTCATAGTTTTGCAGGTGTACCGCTGGAAAGCTTGCTTTGATGTGCACATTTTGAAACTAAAGTAAATATATCTTCAGCAAGCCTATATGTCATTTCCCAGAGGGCAGACTATGACAGCTCTGCCAAACAAGCAATCTCTAAATTGCCTGGTGTTTGATAGCAGCAATGCTCAAGCCAATGAGTAAACTGATGGACAGTCACTCAATTAAAGTGGGCTGCACCGTAACGATCCACATGTCTGGATCCTCTGCGGTCTTGCTGAAACGTGTTTTCTGCGGCATGGCTGAAGTCACGGCCTGCAATGTCCTAACTAGTACTACTTTAAAAAAAAAATAGAATGGTACTTGTTTGTTAGTGTATGATGCTTGTGCACACTTTGTGTCTCTGTGTTCACCTGAATGACCAATTAGATTTAATGCTGATCTCACTCAGACCTTCATTATCTAGAGCACTTTAACTATGTCCAGCAGGGACGAAAAAGGCAGAAACAAGACAATGGCTGCAAACGAAGTCAAATGTATTAAATTTAGCTCCTCTGTATGTCTTGGAGTTTGTATAAGTACTTGAAGTGCCTGGGAAATCAATAGCCATCTCAGCATGACAGAGTAAAACTGAGGGCTGCTGCTACGTTTTTCTGAATGTGTGCGGCACGATGAACCACAGGCAGTTTTCCTAAAGAGTTTTAAAGGATAATTCTGTTACTCTGACTTGCAAGAAAACAACTTCATTAAAGCAGAGACAATCTATGACTGGCATTTTTACAGGATAAGTGCTGTAACTACAGCCATATTAAAGATGAAGTGTCTAATTTCTGCACCACTACCATCATCAAATTAAAATAACTGTTTTCAAACAGGTTTCCTGATGACTTTCCTAAACACCCATTTTCAGTTAGTTAAACAAACACAGTGTCACTGTAATAATACTCTTCTTTGAATGGCGTACAGTTGTCACTTTTCACTGTTTTGCTATGAAGAAAAAATAAGGAAAATTATATTTAAATTATATATATATATATGTGTGTGTGTATATATATATATATATACATATACAGTGGTGTGAAAAAGTGTTGGCCCCCTTCCTGATTTCTTATTTTTTTTGCATGTTTGTCACACTTTAAAAGGATCATATGATGCAATTTCAAGTTTTCCTTTCTCCTTGGTGTTACAAGCTGATTGTACATAGATAAGATCCCTGAAGTTGCAAAGACAAAAGTCTCAAAACCAAAGAGATATTCTTTATCAAAGTTAACTCTGCCACGCCCCCCTAAAACGGCTTGTTCTAACACGCCCCCACATATCTACCTCACTATGTGGAAATATTTGCATAATGCCGCCCAAATGTGCATGCAAAGAAAGAAGGCGTGGTTTCAGTAACCGCAGTTAGTGTTGAAGCAGCCATGTCAGGGAGACACTGTGTGTTTCTAGGCAAAAGCAAAAGCACTTTATTTGGTTTACTAATATTTAAATTTGTTTAATGATCTGAAACATACAAGTATGAAAAAAATAAGAAATCAGGAAGGGGGCCAACACTTTTTCACACCACTGTGTGTGTGTGTGTGTATATATATATATATATATATATAGTTTTAGCTGCATAAATATTAAACCTGTATATATTAAATTAAGACATTTGACCATCTACAGCAAATATTGTTTTCATCATGTGACTCTCTCAGTGACAAGTGGAAAGTAAAGCACACTGACACTCTCCCCACAGCTAAATCTACAATTATATACTATAGTATTACAGTATTTACCATTTTTAATTTGAATGAATACATAAACAAATGTTGTATGTATGTATGAATAATAAGGGATAATCAACGGTTTGCTGTGCATTAAAGCTGTGCATTTTAAATGCATGACGTGGAGGCAAAAAACCACTCGATGCGGCAAGCCGTTGATTATCCCTTAAATATATACATACATACATACAATTAGGCTACTTAAAAAACATTTTACCACCTCGTTGCTGAGGAATATAATGTAGCGATCTAGTAACAAGTTTATGTGCGATCTGTGATCTCTGACTCTCTTTCTCTGTGTGTGTGTGTGTGTGTGTGTGTGTGTGTCAGCTAAATATACAATTATATACTATAGTATTACAGTATTTACCATTTTTAATTTGAATGAATACATAAACAAATGTTGTATGTATGTATGAATAATAAGGGATAATCAACGGTTTGCTGTGCATTAAAGGATTTTAAATGCACGACGTGGAGGCAAAAAACCACTCGATGCGGCAAGCCGTTGATTATCCCTTAAATATATACATACATACATACAATTAGGCTACTTCAAAAACATTTTACCACCTCGTTGCTGAGGAATATAATGTAGCGATCTAGTAACAAGTTTATGTGCGATCTGTGATCTCTGACTCTCTTTCTCTGTGTGTGTGTGTGTGTGTGTGTGTGTGTGTTTGTGTGCCATGTGAGTGATGGGTGTGGGTTTGTGTGCATCAATTAAAACAGCGCATAGAATGGTAATTAAACTGACTTGGAACTATCTGTGCATTAAACTGACTTTTTTTTGTTTTATTGCATACCTGCCAGCCAATCAGAATCCAGTATTCAGACAGACCATGGAGGGGAGAGAGAAATTTTTTATATATATATATATATATATATACAGTATATGTATGTATGCATGTTGACAACTCATTTCACCTGCTACAGCATTAACAAATAACACTTCATCACTTCACTGTCATGTGAATCTCTCAGTGACAGGGAGCCATATAAAATGGGCTTTTCTAAATATCTGGCCATAAGACAAAAACTACGCACAGTTAACTAGATTAAAACACATCTTACTACTCTGTCAACGAGATGTACCCTTCGATATACTGTTGTTGAATACCAACAACATCTCCATGTAGTGAGATGAGCTCTGGCTGCAGGAGATCCCGCTCATCAGAGGAAGACATCAGAGTAGGCACGATGACAGACGAGAGATGGATGGCCACGCACTTCCACCATCAGTCTCCCTAGCATCTAATTCATTTGTTTTAATCAGCCCGTAAAGGCTTGATTTAAGAATTGTACCACATGAGTGGCTTTGTTGTACAGCTGCAATTTAAGAGAAGAGAGAAACTCCTACACGTTGTCTCCTCTACACGCTGTATAACGGCAAAGACGATATCTATCAAACCAAACAACAGTGAACTAGGAGAATCACAGTCAACCAAGACCTTTTTTGTAACATTAGCCATATTGTGTAAGTCTTAAAACTCTAAAATTGTAAATTTGGCAACACACAATTTTGTTCACAACATATTTCTAAACCCATAATTGGAGTCTGAAGCATCATAGCCCCCTTATGGGTGATTCAATATTAAAACATTTAATGATGGAAAAGTCAGAACAGTGTAAATGGTCATTGTAAATGAAAATCACATTGTTGATTTGTGAATGTGGAGGAGTGTAATTTTGATAAAGAGGAACCTTCACTAAATTTGATACTTGAGGCCTCCACATTCCACATTAACAGGCCAAAATCCATTGTAAATGTAATAGAAACAGACTACTAGATAATGGGAAGCTAAATTAAATCATGTCGTGACTTACCTAACAGCCTACACATAAACCCTAATTTGGATGAAAATCTAAAACCTCAGACAATCAATAACTAGACCGGCAAAATATGTAACGGGTCTCCAGAGCGACGCCACTGAAGAGGAGGCAGTACCTGTAAAAATTGATCTCGGGGTAGTTGGCATACTCGGACTTGCGCGAGTTGCGTCTGGGAAATGTACAGAAGAAGGCATTGGCAAGAAGGCAGGCAATTTGTTCCTGTGACATGGTCAAGGACTGATTCATCCTTGTCTTAAGCAGCGGGATTGGCTGTGGAAGAGGAGAGAGAGGCAAAGATCATTAGTTTAGCAATTGACCAAACAGGGAGACAGAATTACATTAAGCAAATGGCCAGCAGTAATTAAGGTGCCCTGCTGTATCCCACCATCAGCCAGCAGCATTTACACCGAACGTCATCCATCTCTACAGATCAGACTTAATGACTCTTAAGGGCAGTATAGATGACTAATCAATGCAAACATTAATAAAAAGTACATAAATAAAGAGTGGATCTGAGCTAGAAGAGATTTTCCTTTTTAAGGGCAAAAACTCCTGAATTCTTAAAGGCTTCTTATCTGTGCAAGATCTTACATAAACAATGATTCAATGGCTAAGTAGAAACTAGCTTACTGAATAGTTTGCAGCCTTGTCTTGCCTATATTTATTCAGTTTAAAGCTGAATTGTTTATTTTCTCAATGTTAAAAATGCTTTAATCTATTCTAGCTTAATATATCACTCTATCAAACACTGTTTCTAAATGGTACTTCAGAATCTTACAAATAAAAAATGTAAAATACATAAATAAAAATACACAATAGCTAAAACCAGCCTAAGCTGGTTTAAAAGCTGGAAGTAGCTGGTTTTAGCTGGTCTCCCAGCCTGGCCAATCTGGTTTTAGGTGGTTGGCCAGCTGGTCTTCCAGCCTGACCAGCTAAAGAATTGGTCAAACCCCCACTAAAACAAGCCTGCAAACCAGTTATGACCAGGCTGTAAAACCAGCTAAAACCAGCCAAACATCTTAGGCTGATTTTAGACTTTTTTTCTTCAGCAGGAAAATAAAAAGATAACATGAGAATTAACATAGAAGTACATTTGTGAAAACTTAAAGCATTAAATTTAGATGCATTTAAGAACATATCTCTCAACATTTTTGCTCTGATGTCAGAAATTAGGCTGATGGACGTCTACCATTGGCCTCCATTAGTTCAGATGATAATGAGGCAGTTGTGCTCATGTGGAAGTGTCCTTCACTAGCCACTGGTTTTACACCGCAGCACGCTGGGCCCATTGACCTTTACCAGCCAGACATGATTATCACTACTGATCTATTTTTGCCCCAAAACCTGAGCGTCTCTCCAAGCCAATGTGAAGGACAGCATATGATTTTGTGTAGCCTCACCTGGGTGCAAATCTTGCGCGTATTCAAAACCAGTTTCATCATCTTTGGCAATGTGACGTTAAAGAGATGCTGTACTTCTTCATTTTCCATACCCTGCAGTAGAAGGATTAAATGTGTTTGATAGCGGATTAGGATTAACAAACAAATGAAGAAACAGGTCTGTTCACACTTTAAATATACACAATTATTTAAATTGGTTTAAAGTCTGTAAGATGCATTTATTTAATCAAAACAGTAATATTGCTAAATATTATTACAATTTAAAACAACTTGTATTTGAATACATTTTAAGTTGTAATTAATTCCTCAGTGTCACATAATCCTACAAAAATCATTCTAATACAGTGGGGAAAAAAAGTATTTAGTCAGCCACTCCCCACTGTATGTTGATTTGCTCAAGAAACATTTCTTGGTATTGTCAGTGCTAAAAACAGTTGAAACCATGATACATTCTTTCTTAATTGAATTTGAGATGAATATAAAGTAAAGTTTCTTTTAAATAAATTATTTGTAACAATCCGAGTCTTTGTCACTTAAAAGAAGTCAATATTTGTCTATTAAATTAAATTAAAGTGACACCTCTGCTTAGAGAATGAATCATACTTTAGAGTATTACCAATTAAAGATTGACAACATTACCATGTTATGTCCTCAATCTAATAAGAAAAAGAAAATGTCAACTGTCTGATACAAAATAGAATAAACAATGAAGCCTTTTTAGCATGAGTTTCTAAAACAACATTTAATGGAAAACAACTGTCAGAAAAAGGAGCCATATTGTTGAATAAGACACTTGACCCCAGCTGTCATATAGAGTATTATTCATGTGTCAGGGGGGGAAAAAACCCCGATAGGACGTTATGCTGTCAGAATGACATCAATAGGTGAACAAAAATTATTTGCATCCTGAGCTGCTGGCTTTTTGGCAACAAAAACAGGTTGCTTTCAACTTTTGCAAGTAAAACATAAAAGCTCAGAGTGCACTGGATAAACACATTAAACGCAATATTAACCATATTAGTGGAGTTCCTATGGGCAATCCCAGCAATCATTTTATCTCTCTATTGCCTGGAGCATCCAAAAAGCTTGATTCAGGGAATTAATATATAAAACTCCTCGGTTTGTCAGTGTAGCAAGAAAAAACTCACTCATATCTGAAAAGGCAGTAACAAAACTTGATCTATCGCACAGAGGTTACAAAAACGTAATTTTGTGATATTAGCAGAGCTCCCAATGGTGAATGACATGACTGAGATGGAAATAAAGACAAAGCCCTCGGTGCACTTTTCATCTCGGGTAAAATACAGCTAAGCAACGTCACCGTAGATCTCCGATCAGGCAAACAGCACTGCTTTGTGATATTCATTCTGAAGCGGAGGGTGTCAAAACAGCACACGCTGGCTCAGCAGCCTTGTATGATTTCGGGAAAAATAAATACGCTACTGTTTTATCATCACACAGATTTACAACACACTTATTTACAAATATATTGGCTGCGATTGGCAGCGCGCTCAGTCATGGGCCCATTTCATCAAGGTTACTGGGCGTGCTCAGCTGATTAAATGGGATTCCTGGAACAGATGTAAATGGGTTGAGGAAGGAGAGGCGGCGTGGGGCTCTTCTGGACAGGAAGCCTCGCCTGACAATTTAACCAAGGAGCATTTATACACCCGCAAAGGAGGCCTGACTAAATGCTGTCATAAGTAATGACCTGCTTGACATCGTAAAGTGCTCCTCTGGGTTTAATGAGTGAGGAGAGCTGACAGGCCGGATGGGCCTAAGCTGAGGTTGCAGGAGTTAGACCTCACTAAATCAAACATTCCCCCTTATCCTGCCGAACCAGAACCTGTTAGATAACATACTACAATCTCTATCCAATCCAACCAATAAAAATTCAAAGAGTGGTCGGATGAGGTCATTATTTTCTTATTTTTTGATTTGTGAGTACATAAACTGAAAATAAATAGCAGATTTTTCTTGGACACTCCGCATTATGAGTACATGACATACGTGCTTAGTATTTTACACGCCATTTTTGGGGTTTTAAAGGGGCATATCACCCGTGAACATGGAAATTCAACCATCATTTACAAACCCTTATGCTGCTCCAAACCTGTATGACTATTATTTTTTTATTCTGCAGAACACAAAAATATATTCCCAAGAATATTTCAACCATTTTTTCTATCCAAACAAAGTCAGTGAGGTTCAAACAACATACTGTCGGACATCTTTGACTTTCATTGTGCGGGGATGAGTGAACCATCCCTTTAAGATCCAAAAAAACTAAACTGTATTGTAATTCAAATGAAATCCCTGTGTCAAAATAAAATAAAATAAAATAAAATAAAATAAAGTTCCCAAGAATATTTCAACCATTTTTTCTATCCAAACAAAGTCAGTGAGGTTCAAACAACATACTGTCGGACATCTTTGACTTTCATTGTGCGGGGATGAGTGAACCATCCCTTTAAGATCCAAAAAAACTAAACTGTATTGTAATTCAAATGAAATCCCTGTGTCAAAATAAAATAAAATAAAATAAAATAAAATAAAATAAAGGGCAGTTAAAGTCCTAAACCAACCAGTATTTCTTACTTGCAAAATCAACCAGTTCCATTCATTGCATGATTTATATAATTAGCATTTTTCTGCAGGTCAGTATGTTTAGACAAATACTGTGTGTTGGCTTCAGGGAATCCCGCTATTCTGAGACACTGAAATAAGATGGTTGTGTAGGCGAAGGGCTAGAGGCTGAAGTGGAGTTCTGTGCACTGAGCCAGCAGTGTGAATTTATCAGAGCCCACTTCTCTGACACTTTCATTTCAGGGTAGGGCTGAGGCTCAACTACAATTTATGACAAGTCCGGTCCTAATTTGTATTTTGCTTCTTTCCATAGCCATCACACCTCTGTTGTCAATCAAAATCCCAGCAGCCGCTCAGCTTTGTGACAATTATTGGAGTCCTGCGGTAACAGACACAATTTTAAGACACCAGAGAGCCATTCTATTTGCACACCTTATAGGGCCGATAACAGCACGGGTAAATACAGAATAACACCGAGTATAAATGCAGCTACAGAATGCATGTGATCTATTCAGATGAAAACTATATTAAGAATTATTCTGTTATTCTTGAGCTTTAATCAAATTGAAAATAATAATGAAATTTTGTTTCATGACATTCTTATCTTCAAGTGTTATTTCACAGCCAATAGATTTAAATGGTCATACTCATTATTCCACAAGTCTCCAAATAACATTAACATCCGTCCTGAAATTTAAATTCACCTAGAAGGACAGATAAGACCACCACTTTATGTCCCAGAGGAAACCGCTTTCAGATAGTAGGCCTGCTCACACCAAAGAGGATAACTATAACAATAGTTTTAGAAATTGTTCTAAATTTAGAAGAATAACAGAATCCACAGCGCAACTACAATGTTAACGGCACACAGAGAAAAAATATTGTTAGAATCACTTTCAAAGTTTTTTCAGCTGACTAACAATAAAAACACTGACAGCCAATCAGAATCCTTCCTGCTTTAGAAGATCCAGCATTTAAATCTGCAGATCAAAAAACTGCAGTGTGCACTTATTATAAATGAAATGTTATTGTGCATTAGTGTTGACACAAATATAGCTATCATTGTAGTCATATTTTTAGTTACCATTCTTGTTGTGAATGAGCCTTAAGCCTGCACTGATTCTTCATTTCATTAACACAGAACCGAAGCGGAGAGTGGGAGCTGCCATATTTTCACTATGGCCTGTATGCAGCATTGCGTAAACATGGATTTATTTTTTGATGTGGTCTTGTTGCTCTATATTCTGCTTTAAAAATGTTTGATTGACAGTCATAGTGCAAGCACACATTTGACATGCACGATTCAAAACTCTCTTACAGTTATTAACTGACCGCTGTTCAGAGATGTTTCATTTAATCTCTTAAATTGAAAATCAATCGCCAACTCTCCAGGCTGACATACCAGTGCCCTCTGTTGATGATACAAGGAAATAAGACAGCTGGCTTAAAAGCATTTAAATATGTATGCACACAATGATATTATACCACAAAAGTCTATATAGTACCATAATATTCAATAAGATTCCAGACAATTTAGAAAAAGGGCATTGGTAGGGATTCATAAAAAGCAATTACACAAGGAAAAGTATGCATTTGTAAGCACCTGCATACTTAATCACAGCTGAAAGAGTGAGAACTACACTACATTAATTAATAGCAACACAAAAACATACAGATAACAACAAGATTGCGTTCTTAAACACGACACCACTTGCCATCTCATCAGTGAGGACAGGCCTTAGGGTTGATGTATGATCACCAAAAAAATTATAGTCATAAAATGATTATGGCAAAAGCCAGACAGATGGAAAAACACTGAGGAACGTGAAGATGCATCGTGCCTGAGCCAAAGAGCAAAGGCACAGCTCAAGCTCTTAAGTGGACAGTTTAAGGAGCTGGTCCACTCAAGCATGCTTCATTAGAACGCGGTGCACTTTGCTAATGGCTTTGATTGGCTCCCTTATAGATTTAACGGCTGTGGTTAATTAAATTTGATACAGCCATAAAAAAAGTCACAGACAGCTATTGATTTACACAGGTCTGAGATTATTCTATCAAATCATCTTAAGCATGGAGGGGACGTTCTGATGCCTTGGCTGAAGCCATAACTATAAGAATAGCACTGTAATACAGAAATGGCTTTTGACTATTAATCTAAGATATAGCATAGTTCAAAGTCTGCCATTTATTGCACACTGGAGAAAGACTGCACACAGAGAACTAAAGGCAGTTAAAGACTTTCTTGCAACACAATGACTATGTGTTCTCTGGAAAGGGAGAATTAGTACCATTGCCAAAACAGCGACTGTACAAGTATGAAATGTATTGTCACTTTGGATAAGAAAGTGTTTGCTAAATGAAAAAGATCCACATAATCCTATGCCTCAAAAACATTATGAGTCATGGAACAGTGATATAGCATAATGAAACCAATGCCTGGTGGGTTTATTCTCCACCTACTACAGTCGCAATCAGTGATCGAATTGGGCTAGTAATCACCAGTAAAAGAAATTAATGTGCAATGCCTTTAAGATCCAAAAAAACTAAACTGTATTGTAATTCAAATGAAATCCCTGTGTCAAAATAAAATAAAATAAAATAAAATAAAATAAAGGGCAGTTAAAGTCCTAAACCAACCAGTATTTCTTACTTGCAAAATCAACCAGTTCCATTCATTGCATGATTTATATAATTAGCATTTTTCTGCAGGTCAGTATGTTTAGACAAATACTGTGTGTTGGCTTCAGGGAATCCCGCTATTCTGAGACACTGAAATAAGATGGTTGTGTAGGCGAAGGGCTAGAGGCTGAAGTGGAGTTCTGTGCACTGAGCCAGCAGTGTGAATTTATCAGAGCCCACTTCTCTGACACTTTCATTTCAGGGTAGGGCTGAGGCTCAACTACAATTTATGACAAGTCCGGTCCTAATTTGTATTTTGCTTCTTTCCATAGCCATCACACCTCTGTTGTCAATCAAAATCCCAGCAGCCGCTCAGCTTTGTGACAATTATTGGAGTCCTGCGGTAACAGACACAATTTTAAGACACCAGAGAGCCATTCTATTTGCACACCTTATAGGGCCGATAACAGCACGGGTAAATACAGAATAACACCGAGTATAAATGCAGCTACAGAATGCATGTGATCTATTCAGATGAAAACTATATTAAGAATTATTCTGTTATTCTTGAGCTTTAATCAAATTGAAAATAATAATGAAATTTTGTTTCATGACATTCTTATCTTCAAGTGTTATTTCACAGCCAATAGATTTAAATGGTCATACTCATTATTCCACAAGTCTCCAAATAACATTAACATCCGTCCTGAAATTTAAATTCACCTAGAAGGACAGATAAGACCACCACTTTATGTCCCAGAGGAAACCGCTTTCAGATAGTAGGCCTGCTCACACCAAAGAGGATAACTATAACAATAGTTTTAGAAATTGTTCTAAATTTAGAAGAATAACAGAATCCACAGCGCAACTACAATGTTAACGGCACACAGAGAAAAAATATTGTTAGAATCACTTTCAAAGTTTTTTCAGCTGACTAACAATAAAAACACTGACAGCCAATCAGAATCCTTCCTGCTTTAGAAGATCCAGCATTTAAATCTGCAGATCAAAAAACTGCAGTGTGCACTTATTATAAATGAAATGTTATTGTGCATTAGTGTTGACACAAATATAGCTATCATTGTAGTCATATTTTTAGTTACCATTCTTGTTGTGAATGAGCCTTAAGCCTGCACTGATTCTTCATTTCATTAACACAGAACCGAAGCGGAGAGTGGGAGCTGCCATATTTTCACTATGGCCTGTATGCAGCATTGCGTAAACATGGATTTATTTTTTGATGTGGTCTTGTTGCTCTATATTCTGCTTTAAAAATGTTTGATTGACAGTCATAGTGCAAGCACACATTTGACATGCACGATTCAAAACTCTCTTACAGTTATTAACTGACCGCTGTTCAGAGATGTTTCATTTAATCTCTTAAATTGAAAATCAATCGCCAACTCTCCAGGCTGACATACCAGTGCCCTCTGTTGATGATACAAGGAAATAAGACAGCTGGCTTAAAAGCATTTAAATATGTATGCACACAATGATATTATACCACAAAAGTCTATATAGTACCATAATATTCAATAAGATTCCAGACAATTTAGAAAAAGGGCATTGGTAGGGATTCATAAAAAGCAATTACACAAGGAAAAGTATGCATTTGTAAGCACCTGCATACTTAATCACAGCTGAAAGAGTGAGAACTACACTACATTAATTAATAGCAACACAAAAACATACAGATAACAACAAGATTGCGTTCTTAAACACGACACCACTTGCCATCTCATCAGTGAGGACAGGCCTTAGGGTTGATGTATGATCACCAAAAAAATTATAGTCATAAAATGATTATGGCAAAAGCCAGACAGATGGAAAAACACTGAGGAACGTGAAGATGCATCGTGCCTGAGCCAAAGAGCAAAGGCACAGCTCAAGCTCTTAAGTGGACAGTTTAAGGAGCTGGTCCACTCAAGCATGCTTCATTAGAACGCGGTGCACTTTGCTAATGGCTTTGATTGGCTCCCTTATAGATTTAACGGCTGTGGTTAATTAAATTTGATACAGCCATAAAAAAAGTCACAGACAGCTATTGATTTACACAGGTCTGAGATTATTCTATCAAATCATCTTAAGCATGGAGGGGACGTTCTGATGCCTTGGCTGAAGCCATAACTATAAGAATAGCACTGTAATACAGAAATGGCTTTTGACTATTAATCTAAGATATAGCATAGTTCAAAGTCTGCCATTTATTGCACACTGGAGAAAGACTGCACACAGAGAACTAAAGGCAGTTAAAGACTTTCTTGCAACACAATGACTATGTGTTCTCTGGAAAGGGAGAATTAGTACCATTGCCAAAACAGCGACTGTACAAGTATGAAATGTATTGTCACTTTGGATAAGAAAGTGTTTGCTAAATGAAAAAGATCCACATAATCCTATGCCTCAAAAACATTATGAGTCATGGAACAGTGATATAGCATAATGAAACCAATGCCTGGTGGGTTTATTCTCCACCTACTACAGTCGCAATCAGTGATCGAATTGGGCTAGTAATCACCAGTAAAAGAAATTAATGTGCAATGATGTTAGAAATATTTAGGTGAAAATTATTAATTATCTGTAGTCAATTGTGTAGCAACGTATGAAGATAAAGCTCACACAGAAGTCACTTTCAAACAGTAGGTTCCTGTTAGTCAACACAATCTGCATGACCAACTGGAATCGCTGTGAAATCTGCATGGGCAAATTTTCTGCCCTCATGAGAAATTCCTATTGAAATGTCTAGATTTTGCCTGCAAAAATGTACAAAATAACGGTAAATGTGAGCACACCTTTAATCTTATGTATCAGCAGTTTTCACAAATTGATAGGTGTTCTGAAAATTTGATCAGTGATCTGATCCTTATGTTTTTATACAGATATTAGGGCAGGTTAAGATATTAATGTTATTAAAAAATTTACAATGCAATGGTTTTACCTAATGTACAGAATTTGATTATATTCATAATATAATTTCATTATATTTTAAGTTTACGGTAACACTTTAATATAGGGACCAATTCTCACTATTAACTAGTTGTTTATATAAAGCAGCACATATTCTGCATGACCATATTCTACATCCCTAATCCTACCCAATACCTAAACTTAACAACTATCTTACTAACTATTAATAAGCAGCAAATTAGGAGTTTATTGAGGCAAAAGTCATAGTCATAGTTTGTTAATAGCAAGAATTGGACCTTAAAATAAAGTGTGACCGATTTTACTGTTTTGGCCTGATTTTGTCTAAAGTAAGAAATCCTGACAAAAAAAATTTTATTATGAAAAACAATAGAGTAATATTTTCCAGATTTGTGCTTTAGTTTAGCACGATGATTAAAAAAGTAATTATGTATACAATTATAATAATAATGCCAGTACAAAGTCCCAATATAGCAGCTTTATATTTAGGGAAGTGGGTCCCTCACAAGGGAATCATCATATTTAGGGATTCTTGGCATTAAAAAGTATGAAAATAACTTGTGTGGGCAACAGGGCCAATAATTAAAACAAAAACTGAGCATAAGTTGTATGCCTGCAACATGTACTCTGTAGAACCTTCTGTACCCATAGAGCTAAAAAAAAGTTAGCTTAGTTAAGATCGAAAAGAACAAGTACTGTGGCACAAAACAGTAAACAAGCCCTCATTCATGTCAAGCTCTTGGTGGAATAGGAGCACTCAACCTCAAGCGTTCTTAAGTCATCTCCCTATCAGAGCCACCATCAAGACCAGCTTCTGGCTATGCGGAAGACCACAGCCCATCTGTTGAGTGTGTTTATTTGCAGTAAACAGGACCCTCATCTCCCTGGCCTTCCTCTGCCAGCTGCTGCTCGTTATGCTGAGTGCCCACCTCTGTCTTAATTGACTACTGCTGGATGCAAAGGGATCCCCGGGGACGAGGTAGCAGAAGGGGCAGACGCGGACTGCTTGGTGCGTAGCCACTTGGAGGCTAACCTGCTTCTTCTCTCTGACTGCAGAGCGTAATGCCTTTAGTGTGCCAGTAAATTCAAACCAGTCAGACTAAACAATGATGGGACATTTTTAGTATCATGGGGCCTTCTGGTCCCAACTGTGACACACCACAAGAAATCAGACTTTAGGATGCTCACTTCATTAACGCCACAACATTAGAGCTTTCATTTTATGGCAGCTCCGGTTATGATATAGATCGTCAAAAATGCATCATGAAGTGAAATGTAACCAACTGGGGCCACTTGACATACTCTTTAAGTAAAATGGTTTATTCTAGCATTGGCAGAGAAGCCAATTAAACTGGTTTCTTTACTTTCACTGAAGTCAGTTTTACTGCGCAAGCAAAATGTAATGCTGTTAAACTGAATTACTCATTATTTGTGCATGTACAGTTTGTTTAAACTCATTAGTGCTTTGTGCATGTTGTAGATTTAATTTATTACTTTCTGATTTCATTTCCACTAATGACACTATCAAATGCAAATCAACCATCTGCATGCACATTATTTGGGGTGCACTGAACTACATCCAGATGGGGTAAGTCAAATGCTTTGTACATTAACACATGATATCGACGCAAATCCAATGGACAATTGGACAGCAAGTTTTCTTTGGCCATCTCTATTTTACACAAAAGAAAACAAGCAGTCTCTATTTTAGTTATTTTTCCTGAAGGAAAAAAAGTACTTCTTACCTCAGTGCAGAGATAGTTCAAAGCTGTGAAGTCCCATCTTTTAGCATGTACTGTGTTGTAACTCAATATTGCATCCTGTAAGATTATGACAGTTAAAACATTTGATTTTCTTTTTTAAATATTAACAATTCATTTTTCATATCTAAGAAAAGGTAAACCACCAAATCACATTAAAATAAGTCAGTACTACAATTTGGTGAAACTATAACATTTATTAGATAACTAAAACCTGCTTCACATCTCGGAGCAATTCTGCCACCCTCTGGTGGGATTCATTACTTATTCTTTTAGCACAACTTTCTCAAGACATAAAACAAAACATACCCTAATGTCAAGTGAACTTTTGCATTCTCCTTCCAAAGCTGTACGAATCAACTCCCATCGACTTTGCACTACACTTCCATCCTGAAAAAACACATCATACTGTACACATCAAATAGACACCATACACACTATATCATTTAACAATTCTTTTTTGAAAGAAATTAATATTTTTATTCAGCAAAGATACATTAAATAGAATGAGTAATAGTAAAGACATTTGTCATAAAAAGAGGATTATTTTAAATAAATGCTTTTTTAACTTTGTCGTGTCCAAGCAGTAAAACTGTTCTCATTAATGATTTTTTGTTTCTTGAGCACCAAATCAGCATATTAGAATGATTTATGAAAGATCACTAAAGACTGAAATAATGGCTCAATAAAGTGGTAAATTCAGCTTTGCCACCACAAGAATAAATTACATTTTAAACCAAATTTATTTTAAATGATAATAATATTTCAATAATATTCACAATATCTTTGAACGATGCGGTATGATGTAACTATGTCAAACGATCATTTCATATTAAGCCTAATAAACGGTATCAGCTATTCAACAGAAGTCCACTCTAAAAAAAAAACGTATTAAGAAAAAGTCTATATAATTTAAACGGCAATTAATTTTTATTCTACATGGCACTGATTAACATAAAAGAAGACATTACCTCATTCTCCACAGGAAACAGGTTCTTTTCTGAACAAGGCATCTTTACGGTCATATCATCCCAGGAATCTCTGTATTTGCTCGGATATGGATGGGGGACTTGACCATCTTTGAGCAGGTCTGTCTATAAACCAGAGCAGAGAGAGACTCTAGGTATTTATTTACCAGTTCATTTTACTTTGATTTTAAAGTACTTTTACTCGTTTATAAATCACTCAATGGCCTAGGACCTACATACATTGCAGATATGCTCACTGAATATAAACCTAACAGACCACTCAGATCATTAGGATCGAGTCAGTTAGATATATCAAGGGTTCACACAAAACAAGGGGAGTCTGCTTTTAGTTATTATGCCGCCCGCAGTTGGAATCAGCTTCCAGAAGAGATCAGATGTGCTAAAACATTAGTCACATTTAAATCTAGACTCAAAACCCATCTGTTAACTGTGCATTTATTGAATGAGCACCATGCGATGTCCGAACTGTTTGCACTGTATTTTATGCATGCCTTAAATTCATTTTAAATCAATTTTTTAAATTAATTTTCAACGTTTTTAAATTCCTTGTTTTATTTTTGTGATTATTTTACTTTAATTTATGTAAAGCACTTTGAATTACCATTGTGTACGAAATGTGCTATATAAATAAACTTGCCTTGCCTTACCTTTGAATCAATACAAACATTATGTAATCAGGTCAGTATGGCATTCTGATATTTTAAAGGATAACAAGTTTTTTTTGTTCTTTTAATGGTTGCCTGAAAAAAAATCTATTAAAAAAAATACAAAGCCTGCAACAGACTCAAATGCCAGTGATGTAAAATATGAAGTAACTATTTTCTGCAGGGATATTTAAGTACTATCCAACCACTTCAGTCCAAATCCTTTCAATGGAACATCAAAACACTGAGTTCTATGTTGTACAGGCAAAGCGTAGAGCTGCTAGGACATCCACAGCAGCATTAGACTCAAACTGACAGGAAGCCCTTAGGCGCTGACCGAGAACATCACAATGTCGCTGCGGAGAGCGTGGCTTACCCTGATGAGTACTTTGTGATTGTCTGTTGCCCTGAGGTGTGGCAGGGACTGTCCACACTGAGGCATTCTTCTAAGCTCCTTTATTGGGGTCCCAAGCCATTCCTGTTCTTTCTGCTCTGCTGACACTTGCTCACTGGAGAGATGGAACAAATTATTTTATTTGCATTATTATAGTTTATTGCATAATAATAACTATATATTATTATTGCATTATTATGTTTATTTTATATTTTCATAAGACTTGAGTGATATTGGTACAATATTGATTAATGGATTTATATCAGCCAGTATTGCATATTTAATCGCACAAGCTCATTTTGCCTATTTTTACATTTAGATTACCTCTGTTGTCATCTAACACACATTAAAAAACACTAATCTTTTTTTTTTTAGAAGAAGAAGAAATGTTTTTTGAGCAGTAAATCAACACACTAGAATAATTTCTGAAGGATCATGTGACACTAAATACTGGAATAATGGCTACTGAAAAGTGGAATCACAGGAATAAATTACATTTTAAAGTCTATTAAAATAGAAAAACTTATATTTAACAATATTGCTTTTTTAACTGATTTAAAAAATAAAAACAGCCTTGGTGAGCATAAAAGACTTCTTTGAAAACACATTTAAAAAATCTCAAAACTAATATCAATTTTTCATATTGTTGTGACGTCTAAATTCACTTGTATCATTAAAACAACTGATTTTCCGTTTTAGTGTTTGTAATGATCAATTTCAACAAAATACTATAGAATTTCAATCAGCCATATATAAAACCAATTATTAGTAACAGTCAAACTTTTAATATCAGTGCATCTGAGTAGTCTTTGATAGTGTGGTAAAACCCTTATCTACTACAGCAATATTTACAAAAACAACAATACCTTTCTGAAGAAGACACCCGTGTCTGGTCACTCTCAGGTTCAGTCTCAACAACATTTTCGGGAACAAAAGCATCAGCACCAGAGTTTTGCCCCTCTGTGTCATCTGTTTCCATGGGTGTCACTTCAAGTTCGTCTTTGATGTTGTCTACAGCTTCTGGATTGGGGACTAAGGGTTTGGGCTCCACCACCATTGGGTCAACACTCGAACAGGGGTCTTGCAAGTCGGGGCAGGCAGGAGAATTGCTAGGCAGAGACTCTTTGCATGCTGGACTCTCGGTTCTCATCTCCACATCTACATTATGTGTGTTACTTGTATTTACGGAGGAACTTAGGTTTGTCCCTGACATCTCTGTAGACATGCAAGTCATCTTGACCAGCTTGGCATCTGGTGAAGTTGATTCGATTGCCTTTTCTCCATTGCTTGGCTCCATTGGAACGTGTACATCAGTAATATCAGGAGTTTGTTTATAAGTGATGCCCTTTGTGTCCTCGTCACATTTCGGCAAAGAGGTCTGTGTCTGGTCCTCTGGTTCATCATTCTGCTCCTTACGTTTTCTTGTTGACTCACACAGCTTATCATTATCTTTCATGACTGCCTGACTGCTTTTCTTGATTTCAAGGGTCTCATGAAGATCACACCCTGCATCTTCATCCTCATGGCTGCCAAAGACAAAAAAACGAAAAGTGCTTCTTTTTTTTTTTTACCCATTTTAAACAACAACAACAACAACAAAACTTACCTATTTTCCATATTCATCGTAAGCACACTTCCTGCCAAACTACTTGCTGTAAAAAGAAAAATTTAACTACTGACATTTAGATCTTAACGAAAAGTGCTTCTTTTTTTTTTTTACCCATTTTAAACAACAACAACAACAAAACAACTTACCTATTTTCCATATTCATCGTAAGCACACTTCCTGCCAAACTACTTGCTGTAAAAAGAAAAATTTAACTACTGACATTTAGATCTTAGAACTGAAAATAAAAGCTATACAGTCATACCTACAACTCATTAGCCAGAGTAATGAAAGGATTACTGGGAAACGAGAAAGCTAGCATTTCAAATGACATTTTACTGTAAAATGTGAAGCCAATTCTTTCAAATTCTTCTCGAAAAATATCTCGCACACACGCACGCTCGCGAGCACAATCACACACTAATCCCTGAGGGTCCCTGGTTTGGCTGAGTTTTACCCATTTTAAACAACAACAACAACAACAAAACAACTTACCTATTTTCCATATTCATCGTAAGCACACTTCCTGCCAAACTACTTGCTGTAAAAAGAAAAATTTAACTTACAACTGACATTTAGATCTTAGAACTGAAAATAAAAGCTATACAGTCATACCTACAACTCATTAGCCAGAGTAATGAAAGGATTACTGGGAAACGAGAAAGCTAGCATTTCAAATGACATTTTACTGTAAAATGTGAAGCCAATTCTTTCAAATTCTTCTCGAAAAATATCTCGCACACACGCACGCTCGCGAGCACAATCACACACTAATCCCTGAGGGTCCCTGGTTTGGCTGAGAATCTGGGTGGGGGTCCTGTTGAAAACGCATGATTCTAACCATTATATTGTTAATATATATCATTATTTATAAAATAATATCTTTGGTGGGTCAGAAATTGAATTGCAACTTGGAGTAAAAGTCCGTCAATCTGTTTCTTCGGGTTCTTCCGTTGAATATTATTGGTTACATTCTAGATTTGTATATTTAAGTAGGGGTTCTTCCTCAGCGTCTTATAGATAAACTACTATGTAATGTTACGTACAATTAACCTAACAAGAAAAGTAGCTAGCAGTGTTGGGGGTAACTCATTACAAGGAACGTGAGTTACGTAATCAGATTACTTTTTTTCAAGTAACTAGTAAAGTAACGCATTACTTTTTAATTTACAAGAGAATATCCGAGTTACTTTTTCAAACAAGTAAGGCAAGTTACTTTTTTTTCCAATGTATTGATTGACAGCTCTCCTGTCCCCATGTTGAGAGAAATCAGAAGATGTTACTGTAGTTCTAAAATAAATATGAATTAATTCATCTCACTCACAGATAGAGTATTCCTCAAAATGAATAAAAATAATGCAACTCAGAATATGACGCAAACCTGCAATAATTAAATGCTAAACAACACAAATATCCTTTATGTATTTAATCCCATTCTATTAACCAATGTCTTTGCTTCTGACCTTCGATGACCCAGTTCAACCATAATAATAAGCACAAATTACTCTAGACAAAGTAACGCATTACTTTTTAATTTACAAGAGAATATCCGAGTTACTTTTTCAAACAAGTAAGGCAAGTTACTTTTTTTTCCAATGTATTGATTGACAGCTCTCCTGTCCCCATGTTGAGAGAAATCAGAAGATGTTACTGTAGTTCTAAAATAAATATGAATTAATTCATCTCACTCACAGATAGAGTATTCCTCAAAATGAATAAAAATAATGCAACTCAGAATATGACGCAAACCTGCAATAATTAAATGCTAAACAACACAAATATCCTTTATGTATTTAATCCCATTCTATTAACCAATGTCTTTGCTTCTGACCTTCGATGACCCAGTTCAACCATAATAATAAGCACAAATTACTCTAGACAAACAGTCTTGTGTCATTTTTTATTGCTGAAGTGTGTTGAAATGTCTTCTTCTGCATTCTACAGTACGGACTTAAATTTACTTTCCCTTCAGCCTGAAGCGTATTCATTTCACTTTTGGTGTGAAAAGGCTTTTATATTTGCCAAAAATATAACTTTTTTTATTTTAAAAACAAACAAGCAAGCCCTGTCCAGATTTAAAAAGTAACGTAATGCATTACTTTCCATAAAAAGTAACTAAGTAACGAAATTAGTTACTTTTTTATGAAGTAACGCAATATTGTAATGCATTACTTTTAAAAGTAACTTTCCCCAACACTGGTAGCTAGTGCACATAAATCTGTAAAGCTCATATAACGAATAGAAAACAGAACAGCTCTTTTGCAAAATTTAGTTTGTACACCTGAGGTTGACAATCAGCATTTTCTAAGCGCTTCCATAACTAATATTTTATTGAAAAAGAAAATAAGATTTGGTACCCTGTTCATGGAAATTGTCTATTATTAATTATTATGAATTTGTATATTATCAATGTATTTACTAATGATAATATTATATACAAGTAAACAAGAAATAGTTGTTTAATGTATAATGAACAACAAAGGAGCAGATCTATCTGATTTTAGTTAATTAAAATTGCATACTTAAAATCTTATACAGTATGCACTGTATAAATCACATAATTCTACAACAGCAAAACATTGCAACATGAGCATAAATCTCATCTTGTATGCATATTATTAACAAAGAAAATAAACATAGTCAAGGATTGGAAATCAAACAAAAACATCTCGCAGCACTGTAACCTGCCAACCCAGTGTTGTCTACAAAGAAACAAAAAATAGCACTTGGTGTAGGTTATACATGCAAGTATTTTTGGAGGGGAAAAATAGAGGACAATACATAAAAATACAATTTCTGCTGGTTCTCTATTGGTTGTGTCCCATTGCAGGTTGCTGCTCCAATGTCTTGTAATTTTCCAATTAATACGGCTTCACGATTTTCATGGAAATGTAGTTCTGTGAGAATAAAAGTGTAAATTTAGAAAATGCACATGACATAGTGATTCTTACAGGTACTTTGCTTATAATAATTTGCTCATTTACTAATAATAATATCTGGAAAAGACTTACAGGGAAGGAATACAAGAAGATTCCAATAAACAGGATCACCAGTATGAGAAGAATGAGTCCAATGAAGAGCCATTTGTATCTGCGCCATATAATGAATTTCATGGTCTTGCATGGATTTGTGAACCAAAGGAAGGACGTATCTGGACGGCTGTTTGAACATATTACAACATACAGTGTTACTCACATTATCTAATCAAACATGATACTGAATGGCCAAACTTCGATATTCTCATACTTTGGAGGATCTAGTTTGGGGTTCATGTTGGGTTCATCTCTTCCTTTCCCAGCTGGCCTCTCTTCTGCCTCCTTCTCTTCCAACACTTCCAGTGTCATCTCCACTTTACCCTAACACCACAAAGAGAACGGTCTTTACCATTTGTGCTGTACATATGCAGTATGCATCATGTATCTTATTTTTATCAGTAAGCTACACTCACAGCCAGGATTTTTTTGCCATCTTCCTCCATGGCACAAGGCCACCAGCCTCTCACTGACTTCTGGGAGAAGAGTGACGTAGGTGTGAGGTTTTTGCCTGTTTGGGTTAGCATGCTTAAAGAGCACTTTTCAGGGGTCTTAGCTGGAGGGATGAGGTGAAGCATATCCAACTCCACCGTGCCTGTTTGAGAAAGCCAGTTGCCAAAAATATCAAAATGACCATGAATATTTCTAATGAAACCCTAAATAATACATAATAATAATTTAAAAAAAGGAAAGATTAAACATCTGGTGGGTATATATGTTGATTGGAAGAAGAGAATTCACCCAAGTAGTCATCCAAGGAGAATTTGTCATTGTCCCAGACCTGAATGATCAGTTTAGGAGGGATCCTGAACTCAGTTTTGTCTAGATTCCAGAAGTGTTCCTGGAAATGAAAACACATATGGTTTGTGACTACCTCTGATTGAAAACACGTCATCTAATATGTATTTATGCTTTTCCAAACCACTAACCTTTCTAGACACCATACACAACTGTTCTGCTGGCAAATAATCAAAGCCAAAGACAAATCTCCAGTTGAAATTTCCATCTCCATCAAGGGACCTGAAATGGACATCAGTTTTCTGCTTGTCCTCCTCCATACCTGGCATCCACCTACAAATATAAATAAATGCATATACACTACTACTAGTGTTTATAAGCTTGGGGTAGGTATGATTTTTTAATGTCTTTGAAAGTAGTCTTTTATACTCACCAATGCTGCATTTATTTGATCAAAAATACAGTAAAAACAGTACTATTGTGAAATATTACAATTGAAAATAATTTATTTTAATATATTTTATCTGTCTATTTTAATATAGTTGAAAATGTAATTTATTCCTGTGGTGGCAAAGCTGAATTTTCATTCATTGCTCCAGTATTCAGTGTCACATGATACTTCAGAAATCATTCTAATATGCTAATTTGGTGCTCAAGAATTTTTTTTATTATTATTATTATCAATATTGTAAACAATTGTGCCGATTAATATTTCCGTGGAAACCCTGATACATTTCTTTCAGGATTCTTTGATTAAAATACTGACACTTTTAATAAATTTAATGCATCCTTTCTGAATCCAAGAATTTGTTTCTTTCAGAAAGTACTTACTGACCAAAACCTTTTGAATGTTAGTACTATGCTAATATTGTAATCAACGTATTACCCTTTTACATAGATGTCACTCATGTTTTCTCCTGTAATGCTGGTTTCATCCAGAATGACTTCAGTCGTATTCCAAACAATGACTCGCAGGAAATACCTTCAATGTAAAGGGACACATTACAACACCAATCACACATAAGTAGTTTTACGGTTGTGAGGAAAAGTAGATTGTACTTCTTGGGTTTGCGAGGAGTGATGTCACGAAGGGGTCCTGGAATACCAAGGCTTTTGGGGAATATTTCAACCCACATCTGGATTTTGCCCTATGAAGTCAAAATGAACATGAGTGACAAAGACAGTACTTCTGGATAAACTAATGCAAAGTCTTTGAGTATGTATTAGAAAAGCTGAGGATGTGGGGACTGACCTGAGAGAGAGTGGGCTGGTAGGAGCTGTAAAGGGTCCTGGTCTCCACATGCTCTGGGACGAGGCCTTGCCTCCTTAACACATGCAAGCAGATTCGCTCCTTAGGTGGGCCCAGATGTGGATGGATGGTTTTATTGGCCTCTATGAGCAAAGTAATATCCATTTGTGTTTTCATTGCTTATTTACTTTATTATAATATGCTTGTTTAGCAATATATGTTGCTGCAAGTTCCACACCAAAGTATAAATGCAACATACATCATGTACAGTTGTGCTGAATCAGGTAAAACTATAGTAACAACAAAGTGTACCTTTATTTACTACATAAGGGGGTTCTTAAGTTCATATTCAGACTACTGTTCAAAAGTTTGGGGTTGTTTTTTAAAATGTTTTGAAAGAAGTCTCTTATACTCTTAGACTATACTCTTACAGTCTGCATTTATTTGATAAAAAATACAGTAAAAACAGTAATATTGTGAAATATTAATACAATTTAAAATAGCAATTTTTTTCTTTAAATAAATGTTAAAATGTAATTTATTTCTGTGTTGGAAAAGCTGACCCTTCAGAAATCATTGTAAACATTATTTATTATTATCAATGTTGAAAACATCCGCTTAATATTTTTTGGAAACCATGATACATTTTTAGGATTATTTGATGAATAGAAAGTACAAAATAGCAGAATTATTTGAAATTTATTTGAAAATATTTTGAAATAGACATTATAAACGTCTTTACTGTCACTTCTAAATAAAAGTTATATATAACATACAGTATATATATATTTCGTTTATAAAAGTGATTAAAAAAAAAAAACTTACTGAAAAAACTTAACATTTCAACAGTAGTTTATGTACATAAAGTTGAGGCACAAGTTGAAGACAAGGTCTAATAATTTGAATAAGCATACCCAGTTCATCTAGCCTGTACTCTCGTCCTCCAAACGACAGGAAACTTCCATCATCTGCGATCTGAGGAGCAGGAGTTCCTCTCATCCTGGCCAGATTCTGTAGGATCTGAGATGGTTTGAGCTGGTCCCTCCACTGGTTCACTCCAGATCTTTTCCAAACGTATTTTAATTATCAAAGAGTACATGAATATGTCTAGTAATAGGGAATGATATAATAAAACTGTATGTGAAAAAGTGGCCGCTAGTAAGATAAACACTTACACACAGTAAGATTTTGGGATTCCACAGTGTGAGCCGAACCGAGAAAGAAGTCGATTCTCAAGGTCTATGATTGTTTCCCCAACCTTCTCATCAGCGCTAAGCAGGTCATAATCATAGATGGAAATCTTCAAGTCCTTGTCTTGTGGAATGTAGCCATTCAGTTCAAACACTCTGTGAACATATTTTAAAATAGTTTTTAAAAATCACAACAGAAATACACAAATATATGGAAGCCAGTTTCCGCCACTGAATAAAAATAAAAAAAAAGGTTATTGTGACTTTTTATCTCACAATTCTGACTTTTTTCACAGAATTGTGAGATATAAACTCGCAATTGCGAGTTATAAAGTCACAATTGCGAGATAAACACTCGCAATTCTGACTTTTTTTCTCAGAATTGCAAGTTTATATCTCGCAATTCTGACTTTATAACACGCAATTGCGAGTTAAAGTCCAATTTTGAGGGGGAAAAGACTGATATGTCCTTAAAATTGCGAGTTTATATCTCACAATTCTGACTTTCTAACTCGCAATTGCATGTTATAAAGTCAGAATTGCAAGACATAAACTCGCAATTCTGAGAAAAAAAGTCAGAATTGTGAGTTTATATATCGCAGTTCTGACTTTATTTCTCAGAATTGCGAGTTGAAATCTCACAATTATGACTTTTTAACTCACAACTGCGAGTTTATATCACGCAATTCTGAGAAAAAAAGTCAGAATTGTGAGATAAAAAGTCGCAATTACCTTTTTTCAGTGGTGGAAACGGGTTTCCATAGAAATATCTGTATGTTAATGCATTACTTATCATATTCTCACCTTCCAAATTCTGGATTTAGAGTATTTGGTTTGTAGTGATCTCTGTCATCAATCATTTTCTTCCCCAGAGAAATCTTTATGTAGGGATCACACTTCATAAGGAAAGCATATGCACATGTTACAAAAATGTCAAATGTGATGCTTTGTGAACCATCAGAATCTTTTATTGTTTTACATGTGAACTGGCTTTATACTCACCATGCCATTGTTGTCTTTGGGCTGCAGGTCACGGCAGCGTATGATGTAGATTCTGACCAGGCACTCTTGAGGACAGCTCTCAGGTAGCTCCCTAAACTGCCGAGGTGGGTCTGAGACATTTGGGTCATCTGATAAGGGATACACTCGAAACGACCCCTGTGAATATAGTCATACTATATCATCAAGTAAAACTTTCTTGGTTAGACTACCACTAGATGGCAGTCTATTATAACGTATACTCTTTTTGCTGCTTTTTTCTCCAACTATTTAGAATTGTCCAGAATCTCCTCTATTTGGAAACTTGTCTTGTAGCAAATGCCTTCAAAATGTTTTTATTATTGCATGATACTTTACACCAGTAGGGGAACAGTTCTTTCTCAACAACCTGAGATTAAATGCCTTACACAAGGTCACAATAGTGATAGGGCGGGTTTGTAATACCCAAAAGTCTCTTCTACTTGGACTGAATCTGCAACCTTGGTGTTAGCAGCCTAGATATTTAATGACAAGGAAACCGCCACCCCTTATAAAAAAGGCATTCAATTCAAAAGCAAAGGAAGCTCAGTGCATACAGTGGCTGACTGGCTAGACTTGCCTTGAACTCTCCCACTACAGAGGGGTCTTCCTCCTCATCCTCGGTTTTGCCCCTCTGTAACTTGAATGTAGTGCAGAAGTCTGTCAGCCCTCTGAATTCTGGGACCGTCTCAAGCTCGGTGTTGAAGACCTGAAACAGACGTGTACTTTTAACACTGTTCAATTCTATAACAATGGCCATACCTTATCTGCTTTGAAACATAAGCAGGATGCAAACATCCACACAGGATGGTAAGATCGGGCAAGTAAACTCACTGTTAAAGTGTCATATCCTTTCTGGAGATAAGGGCCGCACTTTTCATGCTCATTAATGGAGGCAAAGAATTTGCTCCACCAGTCCACCGTATCCTCTTCCTACAATAGGTTGTGGTATAATAGAAGTGAGTTTGGCTCTAAGATGCTGTAACAATCTGTCTGCAGCTATTCGCGCCATAACAGCATAGTTTCCAGACTGTTATATAACGACAGAAAAGGCTATTTATTTTTCTTTCTGCTGGCACTGGGAAAACTACGAATGAGTAGCAATAGAAAAGAAGATGTAAACTTATCATCATAAGGTTTACAAATTTATGAAATTACTCATTATTACATTACTGAAAACAATTAGTCTTTCAGATCTGTTTACTGTACCTGTTTAGAAGGGCTGGGCATTCTGTCCCCCATGTCAATGACAACATCTCTGGGAGCTGATGCCATCATGGCCACTGAGAGGCATAAATTATGCAGGAGATAATTAAATTGTGTATATATGGAATAATGGCTGATAGAAATTCACCTTTGCAGTGTGTGTGTATATGTATATATATATATATATATATATATATATATACAGTATATATATATAAACAACCCTTTACTATTGTAATAATATCTTACAATGTAACTTTTTACTGTCTTTTTGATCAAATAAATGCAGCCTTGGTGGGCATAAGATACTTCTTTCTAAAACATTAAAATTATTATTATTATTTATATTAATCAAAAATAAATTTAAATTAAATTTGACCTTTGGCAGACATAGCCACTTCGGTGGTGCTTATGTAAGGATCACATCTGAACTCTTCCAGGGAGTTTATAGTACACTGTCCAACGACTGGTTTCCGACCAAAGGGCCTGTGGTCAATAACTTTGAGTACAATAGGTGGAGTGTATATCTCATCTTTAGGAAGAAGCTGAAGAGAGAGAGAGAGAGAGATTGTTAGGATTCTGTTTGTCCAAAACCAACAAGGCTTCATTTACAAACACAACTATTTAGTTTGGTGTTTTTATTTTCACTGTATGTTTTGGGATCAAAAACATGTTTAAATCTGGAAGCAGGGCAGATTTTGTATATAATCTAGACTTTTGGGACACATGGTCTTTTAAAAGCAAGATTTTAGATTTGCCACCACAGTCCTAGTGTGTTCTAAGTGAGCTCGGAGTTGTCTGTGTTGCTACAATGTTCTGGATGGTTTCTAGGTCATGGCTAGGGTGTTCTGGGTGGTTTCTTAATGCCCTATGTCACAAAAAGCCCACTCTAAATTCTTAGTATTGTTAGTCTGTGAGGTTTGTTTCTAGCCCATTTTATAATTCGTAAATATAATCACTTAGAAATGCACACGATTGTTATACACAACAACAACAATGCCTCATAATTTGTGTTTACATTTATTTCTGCAGCACAAAGGGCGTGGGATGAGTTACGCATCGAAGTTTATTCAAATCTCTAACCATTAAAATAAGCAATAGCACAGCTTGCCTTAGCAAGCACCACTAATTAGCATTGTGGGAAGCTGGAAATAGAACTGAAGTAGAACCTTCTATCTTTTGTTTTGTATACAGAGGCATTTCAGCAGTTCTGATTTTTTTGTAGGCTAGCAAAAGCTATTTCTTTAGGTTAAGGAGGTGATGTACCACTTTGAGGAACAGGACAGATCCAGGGAAGTTGGGATTTTTCTTGATGTTTTTGATGATGGCAGTCTGAACAGTCTGCCCTCCACATTCAACTATAAGGCTGGGGGAAGACACTGCAGCCAGCTGATATGCCTTCATGTTTCTTAAACCCCAGGCCAGGATCTGTCAAAACACACGGTATGAAACACTGGCAGTAATTTTGTTTGGTTTTAGCGCATTATTCGTAAGGATGACTGCATTACCTCGACTGCGGTGAGCTGCACCACAGGCCTGATTCCCTGAGGAACCATATACAGATTCTCACTTCTCCGAGGTGGGACCAGGGGAAGGTTAACGTCATTTGTCTGAGGTCAACAATGAACAGCATAGTGGATAAGCAAATGATAATGGTGCTGTGGTTAAAAGACACGCTAATGGCGACAACAGTTAGGTCATTGGGTAAAACTGCTATTCTCCAGTTGCATGTTTCCTTGGTAGTGATGATTTAGCTAAATTTGACAAAACATACTGGCTACACCCTGCAAATTTGAAACTGCAGACAATCCTATGATACAAACAGTATTTAAATGATACTATATGAGGACAGATGACGGTGACTTGTCAGCTAAACATATATTTACATCAAACACATTTCGTTCTAAAGTACTGTATTCAATACATTTATAATAGCAAACAACCATTTGTGTTTATGTTTACCCTATAAGTTAATAATTGCATACATTCTGTCATGTTTTAAAGTGTTTATTATTGTATGGGTAGCTGGGTTTTTACTGTTAACTAAAACTAAAACTATTAAAAAGCTGAAATAAATTATTAAAACTATTTCATTTAGTTGCCAACATTTTTGATTTTTGTTTAGTTTAAGTTGAAGCAAGTTGAAACCTAACTAAAACTAAAACTTTGTAATATTAAAAGAAAAGAAAAAAAAAACGAATAAAAAGGATAAAAGCATTAACTAAAATTAAAACAAAAGCTGAAATATAAAATTAAAAAGCTAATTTAAAATAGTAATAAAACTATAATAGTATATAAAAATGACTAAAATAACACTGACATGTAGAGGGAGAAAACACATGGCAAGTAAGAATATAAACAACCTTATCTTTAAGCAAGAGCTCAGCTGCTACCAGCATTTCTCCTGCATTTCGTCCCTTCATGGTGATGGGGAACCAAAGGAGTTTAGGTGTTAATGGGGTGGCAGGATTCAGCTTCACTACTGGAGGACACGTGCATCTGCCCATCGGCTCATCCTTCCCCTGCAACACATCCATGGATCAAGATCAAAGCATGTAGTGCTTTTTGAAGATTCCCTGAAGGCCAGCATTTGGATTAACAGAGAGTCATACCACTTGGTCATTATCATAAACTTCCAGAACCACACTGGGTGGGTTATGAGCGATGGTCTGAGGGTCTCCGTAGATTTCAATGTCATCAAAAATAAGAGTTTGGTCCCATATGGGGTTGAGACTGGACTTAACGATCTCTGTTGTCTTGCTGACATGCAAGAATGACACATGCACATAGGGATCTGTGAAAAAAACAAAGGATCAGTCAGACAATATTTACAATAAAACATGTGTAAGGTGAATTATTAGATGAAAAATACCTCACCAGAAAAGCTGTCTTTGTCCATAGGCAAAAGATTCTTGGCTTGATATACATAGACTCTGAGATGGTAGATGAATGACTCTGTTGAGACACATGGTGATTTGGGTGAAACTTGAGTTGTTTGTTTTCTATCACAAAATGTCTTGCACCTAGTGTACTGAGGAATTCACAAGATACAGTTTAAAACAACAAATATAGTCACATTGTTAGATATAAAGTCACAAGTGTGAAATATAAAGCCACAATTACGAAAAAAAAAGTGATAAATAATGGCAAATAAACACACGGTTGTGAAATATAATATCGTTTTTTTATTCCAATCTGTATAATAAAGAGAAGGAAATGTTTATTTTCCAATTAGGCTTTACCTGATAAAGCTGTAATACTGAATTAACCACTGACTGTTTATCACCATGTGAAGTTCTAAATAATTTGACATACAGGTGCATCTCAATAAATTAGAATGTCGTGGAAAAGTTCATTTATTTCAGTAATTCAACTCAAATTGTGAAACTCGTGTATTAAATAAATTCTATGCACACAGACTGAAGTAGTTTAAGTCTTTGGTTCTTTTAATTGGGATGATTTTGGCTCACATTTCACAAAAACCCACCAATTCACTATCTCAACAAATTAGAATACTTCATAAGACCAATAAAAAAAAACATTTTTAGTAAATTGTTGGCCTTCTGGAAAGTATGTTCATTTACTCTACATGTACTCAATACTTGGTTGGGCCTCCTTTTGCATGAATTACTGCATCAGTGCGGCGTGGCATGGAGACAATCAGCCTGTGGCACTGCTGAGGTGGTATGGAAGCCCAGGTTGCTTTGATAGCGGCCTTCAGGTCATCTGCGTTGTTGGGTCTGGTGTCTCTCATCTTCCTCTTGACAATACCCCATAGATTCTCTATGGGGTTCAGGTCAGGCAAGTTTGCAGGCCAATCAAGCACAGTAACACCACGGTCATTGAACCAGCTTTTGGAGCTTTTGGCAGTGTGGGCAGGTGCCAAATCCTGCTGGAAAATGAAATCAGCATCT